CATATCGGTGGCTAGGAGATGTTAACTACTTGCCTGGTATACAGGAGGTCGTGGGTTCGATCCCGACCCTGACGATGCCTGCTGCTGTATATTTGGAGTCTGCATCTCTCTCTCTCTGCATGTGGTTGCGTAGATTTTTCTCCGGGCCCCCCACTTTTTCTTCTCCACATTTAGAATCAACGTCACGCATTTAAGAGTATTTGGCTGCTGATATAAATGTCCACGTAAGCCACGTCATTGGGCTATAATTTGTGGCCTACTCACTTCTGTAAAAAAAGCAGCTCAGTGAGCCTTACCTGATCAAATTAAAAACAGTTGGGTATTCGTGTTATCAAACACATCACCGGCGAATGTGCCATCCAGGCACACACCCTCCTGGTATTATTGCAATCTATCCAGTATCTGCTGCAGCTTTGGATTGGTTGAAGGACCTTAACATTCAGCTATGACATCACCTATATGTTGCACACTCGAAATTAAGGACGTGGGCAGGTGCTCCAAATCGTGGGCAGACACATTTATTGTGGTCAATCTATAAAATGCAACAGCACGTGTGCCACACAGCAATCCGCAACCGAGTTGCCATTAACCACGTGACTGGTGTACAAGTGGGTTTAATCAATAACAGTTTCTCTTAAACCCAATTCTACTACTGATAAACCATCTTTGACTTTGACAATAACCTTTGCACTTCACTATTCGAATATTAATTTAATCCTAAGCTGTATGTCTATCTATACCAGCCACTTATATCGGTATCTTATCCCCATTATCTGTACTGTACTTGTCACCATTGTACAACTTACTACTGTACATGCGTTCTATTCTTAATAGCAAATAGTCATACTCTGGGTGCATGGGCAAGGTTATAGAATAAACGGTATTAGGGTTAGAGTATTACAAGTATTAACGACAGTACGTCATCCTTTACAGTGCCCAGTGCTAAAACCCCTCCTATTAAATATATCACAAACTAACACTTCAAAGCCAAGCTTGAAGTCTAGAACAAATCTAGAGCATTTCTATAACGATCAAAACAACCTTTGGGTCCTTTACCTGTAAAATGGAACAGCACGTGTCACACACAGCAATCCGCAACCGAGTAGCCATTAACCACGTGACTGGTGTACAGGTCAGGTTATTCAATAACCCTGCCAGCCACCCACAGGCCCGACTCAGTATCACATTCTGGTGTACACGTACATTGATGTACTGCACAGCATAAAAGGACTTTCACAAAACCACACTTCACTCCATTGCTGCACGAGGAAATAATTAAATGAGTGGTCCATTCCTAATGTGCCACATTTATATCCTGAGGTTGAAGATATAACTAAGTTTTTACGTAAACTTTTGTGGCTGCCGGAATTCATATTCTTTGGTTCTTTCGGTAAAGTCACAAAAATAGAAGAAAAATAATAATAAAAATATAACGTGAAAAAAAGTAAAATAAAAGTAATAATAAAAGCCACTAATGTAGACTGCAGCCTGGTTTTAATCCGAGTCAGTATACTGGCAGTCTATAATATCGACTTATTCTTATCGCTAAGTTTCAAACTTTTGCCCCTGCTGTTTGTCCGTGTTTTATGGCGGCCTTTGCCCCGGTTGGGATTTCCAGAGTCTCATTAGCCTCCCTTTGCACCAGGGTTTTATTATTTTATGGCTTCTATCTACAGCTGCATTCTTGTGTAGCGAAGCAAGCGGCAGCGGGGTGAGGTGTGACCCCCCTCCACGCCCCTGCGCCACATCCAGATCAAACTTAAAAAAAAATATTGGGCAGAATCATTCTTAATATCAAATTTTTGGAAAAAGGCACATATACAACAGTCCCCCCTTTTAAAACTGAACAGTGGTCGATTGGCCATGGGTTATTTTTAAACAAAATAAATGCCTTTTCCATTATGAACCAACAATTGTCCTCCTTAAGTCTCAGCTGCTATTTCCTTACAACGCGCACATACTCATCACGAACTTAGCATGGTCACATTTGAAATAAGCAACAAAATTATCAAGGCAAAATGTTACATAGGATCTTATCAATTATCGTTACTGTGATGGGTTTTTTTTTAGTTCCTGTGAAACACCAGGCAGCGGTTTCGAACACGGTTGTGTATTGCTTTCCTTATATAACCTCCCTGCAGTATGTTTACCAAGTTATGAGTGTCGGCTGCTTTGCCACTTTTGGTTATGAGTGTTGCCTGCTTAGGATCCTTCTTTCCCTCCTCTGTGGATTTAATTTAACATGCTAATTTCCACACAATTTCTTTCAGATTTGGTTATTTTATGGTATTTTCATAATGATTATAAATTTTCTCATGGCCAGGCACTTTAGAGTAACCTATTACCTTTTCACACAACATCATAACATCATCTTCTTGGTTAATCGTTTTTATGGCTTTGATCAATTTCCCACGGTTAACACGTTCGTTTTTGTATTTTATGTCACTCTCTTTCCATGTGGAACTATGTGACGTGAAGTTGTGTTGCCCATAACTAGAATCGGCGCACACTACGATTTTTTGTGCTCGACTGTCAATGGTGAGGCACGATTGCGCTCGCAGTGCATCTGCTGGTCGACGGTGCCGACACTCTTGCTCGGTTGCGCTGGTTATGCTCTCAATGGTGAATGAAACCATTTAAAACGAAAAACAAAAGACGAACTCCGCGACTCTTGACTTCTGCTGATGCAGCTCCCTATCGATGTGCCTATCACAGGGGCAGATTCCCCGAGCCTGCCGTTTGCAGAACTAAGTTGCATGATCTGTGTCCTTGCGTATATGTGAAATTCTCTCCCCTCTGCCCGCCTTCTCACAAAGGACCGGAATTTATTTGATTTTGCTCTTTGCTTGTGGGGGCAGTTGTTTATCAGATGCACGTGTGTGTGTATGTTCTGATTTATTAAGCAATCTGTTAAGTCTCACCAAGGCCTGGTTCCTGTCCCCCTCCTCAAGCCACCCCGCCATCAATGGAAGCATATGCTCCAAATTGCCCCTAAGTGTGTTTTCTAGTTTGTCAACTTTCTGCAATAATCAATCTGGAAGGAGGGAGGGGTTCCTTTTGCCCGGTTGCGTTCTCCCCCCCTCTTCCCTCGCAGCTGGGGTGTTACATTCTCTTGTCTCTCACAAAGAGGGGCGACGTCTCTTGAAGTGCGACCTCCTGTACCATGTTTCCCGTTCACTCTTATGGGTTTTATGTTGAGAGAGAGAAAAAAACATTATTTTCCACCCCTTATCTTAGTCTGTATCCCTTTTTGCGGTTTTGACTCTGTAAGTGACTCACGGTATGTTTTGAGCCGTGTTTACAGTACTTCCATCGTGGTTTGGAGTTCCTTCATGGTGTTTGATATCTCAAGGGGAGGTGCCCTCATGCATATGTAATTTATGGCTACCATGTGCTGCTGGGAGACAAAGGCGGTTTGAAGACTCTGATTCTATGGAATACATTTTATCTAGGTCGTGTGTGATTGACCTATTTCGCATTATATTTCTTCTGGATGACCTTCGGTCTAATACTTAATAATTATTATTTGGTATATGTTTTTCCAAGATTTGTGATGTATCATAGTTATTACCACGTGTATGCCTAGGGTTTTATTAACATTTGTTCCCCATCTGTATCCAGGGATCCGTTTTTTTGTTATTCTCGAGTTATATTTTGATATCCGGAGGTTGGAGATGTAACTAAGTTTACACTTAAGCTTTCTTGACTGCTGGAATTAATATTCCTTGGTTCTATTGGTAAAGTCACGTAGATAGACAGATACAATAAGAAACAATATATGAGGTGAATAAGGGTGAAATAAAAGCCACTAATGTAGACTGCAGTCTATAATGTCGATTTGTTCTTGTTTCTAAGTTTCGAACTTTACCGAAGTAAAAAAAACGCCAGTTGTAACGTCTGTTTGCCATCTCTGTGTCTGTATTTTACGGCTCTTGCCCCGTGGAGATTTCCCAGATTGTCATTAACCCCCCCTCTGCCCCGGAATTTATTATTTAATGGCTCTTTATGACCTCCCTCCAGTTGCTTTAATGTGGCAAGGCAGCTGGGTGTGAGGGGTGGGGTGTGCCTCACCCTTTCATGCCCCATACTCACCCCGATCGATTATTATGAAAAATTAATATTGGCAGAATTATTCTTAATATAATTTTTTGGAAAAAGGCCGATATATATACAACACACCAACTACTACTAGGGGCTACCCATGGATCGTGATGCTGATGCACTGCACTATGCACTGTACACTACACTGTAGACTACTATACACTACGCTATTAACTACTATACACCAAACTATTATACACTACGCTATACACTACACTATTATACACTACGCTATACACTACAATATACACTACTATATACTACACTACACAATACACTCCACTATTATACACTACACGTATACACTACACTATACACTACACTCTACAATACACTACTATGATGTGGCACTGTTTGAGCATTTTGCCACTACAAGACAGAGAGAGGAAAGTGGAAAAAAACAAATGACGAAATGTAGCAGTGGACACACCAACTACTACGATGAGGGAGCTATTTATCTGCCCATGGACCGTGATGATGATGATGACGATCCGGACAGCGAGTTTTTTTCACCACTTAAACTTTCACCATTTATTACGCGAATACAAACAATCCATGGTCAGCCACACGCGTTTGTCGTGTTCATCAGGAGCAGCATGCGCGCAGCGAATTCCACACGCGCGCACACGTACACACGCACACACGTACAGACACACACGCACACACGCGCACACGTAAACACACGCACACACGTACACAAGTACACACACGCACGCACACACACACGCACACACTAGCGCGTGATTGATCACCGGCTCCGTTTGCTCACCAGGTGAACCGCGCGCGCGCATCGACTCACGAACGACTCTGCGGCGACATCCCTCGACGTGTGGCTGTGTGCCGGAAGAGTTTTTAAATTATTATGTCTTTTTCTAAATCATATTAAAGATAAGAAAAAAAAACACCCCCCCCCCCATGGCCACATTGATACATACTCATGGCCACGCTGATACATACCCATGGTCACACACTGTAAAAACCGAGACTGGGGTTAATTAATGTTTAGTAAATATATAGGAGTAGCCTATACATAAAAATAATGACTATGTGTAGTTTAGAATCACATTGAGCTGAATTCAACACCTTTCTATTAGTTATTAATTGTATTTTACTCAGTTTTGTTCAAATAAAATCAGCCATCAATAACTGAGTAGAATTTAATTGTATTTTATCAGGAAAGTCAAAAATGCCAAAAATTGATTAATTTTACTAACCGGGAGGTTTTTGAATTTAATAATGTTACACTCCCGCCCAAACTCGAGGCATTTTTTCGCGCCACGTGCATGTCAACCATCTTCTTCAACAGACACGTTTCAGGGACCGCCGTTCTCCCAAAGGTAAGACATGTTTTATTATTTTAGCGAACATTTTTTTAACAAAGGTGTGATAGCAGTTGAACATGGTTTTATGTTACTGCATATTACCAGCATGCCAATTTAACTGGCTGTAACGTATATCAGAATTAACTAGCACTACGTTAGGCCTTTGGAAGTCAGTCTGATTCGACTAAAAGCACGAGACTATAATTTTTGTTCCGCACACGAAAAAGTAACGTGCGTGATTAAAACTAGACTATATTCATTCGGATCACAGCGTGTACCGAACCAAAAGTCCTGTACCTGCCGTTACACCTCCAGTATATTATATCTTGGTGTTGATGTACGTACAGTATGCTAACGTTAGCTAGCTTGCCACCAGTCAGTTAGCGTCACCCTTACGTTGTGGCTAGCTTGTTATGTAGTTGCTAGCTAGATGATGTGAGTGACAAGAAGTTGATGTGCTAAATGTGAGCATGAAAATTTGAATATTAAAAATAATAAGAAATTATCTTGTAAATGTGCTCCTATTGTCCTCATGTGATTAGAGACCTGGTGGCCTTGCATCTGATACATGGACCTTTTTCTGCCTCAGGTTTTTGCTTATGGAATGGAAGTGTAAGATCTGCAAGTCTTTGTCTGCCACAAAGGGAAATCTACTAAAGCATTACAGACTACAACACGCAACATTTGGTCGTGGGCAATCTCAGCCATGCCTATATGACAGTTGCCCTTGCACATTTAAAATGCAGAGTGCCCTTCGCACACATTTGTCCAGATACCATTCAGATGAAGAAAGTCTACGGTCAGGAAACATCTCTGCTTTTAAGTGTTTAGTTTGCAATGCTTGTTGTTCTATAGAGAAGGACTACTTTCAGCATATTGGAAATCATCTGAAGAGCAACGAAACTGTCTTTTGTGTATTTGAAGGATGCAACTTTCAGACAAATATATACAATACATTTCTAAAACACAAAAGCAGAAGACACAAATCCTATTCTTTGAGTGATTTTAAGAAAGACGTGTATGAGAGTCGTCATGATCAGACTGTTGACCATTCAGATTTACCAGAGGCCAGTGATGGTGAGGGCACTAGTTTAGATTGTGATCAGGAAAGTGCATCATACTCAGTTCTTCAAAGAATTGGCTTACTTCTGCTGAAGCTAGAAACCATCTATAATGCATCAGTGAAGTGCATTGATGCCTTGGTTGAAGACCTTCAGTTCATTTCATCTTCAGTATCAGTTGCAGTTGTTAGAAACATACTAGATTCAACATTGAAGGTGAATAAATGCATTGTTGACCAGGCCATCGTAACTGAATTGTCAGAGCAGTTGTGCAACTTCCATCCCATTAGTACAGCACTTGGAGCAGGTGGTCCACTTGGTTCGGCTTTTAAGAGAAGAAAGTATTTTAAGGTGCATTTCCAGTGTGTTGATAGCATTGAATATATTATTGATACTCAAAAGAACAAGACCTTTCAATATGTGCCTATTCTCTAGACTTTGCAGGAAGTCTTGAAGAATAAAGACATTGCAGAAATAATTTTATCCAGAAAATCAAATAGTACTGGATATATTAAGTCAATTTTTGATGGAAAATCCTTCAAGCAAAATGTATTTTATGATGGGGAAGAAACAAGACTGTCTATAATCATTTTACGTTGACGACTTTGAGGTTTGTAACCCACTAGGAACTTTGAGAAAAAAACACAAAATAACAGCTGTTTATTGGGTTTTGGCAAATGTTCCAACAAAGTTGCAATCTGCATTAACGTCAATACACCTAGCTTTACTTTGCAAAGCTGTTGATATCAAACAGTTTGAATACAGAGCAGTTTTGGAACCACTCTTGAATGATCTTGTCATTCTAGAACAGGAAGGGATTTTCATTTCCAGTGTTGGAAAAAACATTAAAGGGACAGTACATTGTGTTGTAGCTGACAATCTCGGTGCACATTCTATCAGTGGACTAGTTGAAAGTTTCACGGGGCCGTAGATCTGTAGATTTTGTCTTGGACATTCTTCAGAGTACCAGACACACAAAGTGCGGACCGGAGTGTTTCCACCTCGGACAAAGAAGGAACATAGTTTGCATGTGCAAACTGAGAGAAAATCAAAATGTTACTCATTGCTTTGGCGTAAAGCGGTCGTGTCCATTGACTGATAAATTAAATCACTTTCATTTTGAGTCTGGGTACCCACCAGATGTACTACATGACCTTTTGGAAGGCAAGGGAACTAGCATTGTGTTTTCAGATTTTCACCAAGAAGAAGTACTTCAGTTTGACTGAGCTTAACGAGTTAATAACTGAGTCTGACTGTCAAAGTTCTGCGTTATAGGCCTATACATCTGATAGGCTATCAGAGAATGCACTGATTTGTTACTGAAAGCTATCTTTATTTTTGTTTAATGTTTTTTGGGTGTTCTAACATTGTGCTTTCTTCTGATGTGACGCTGACCTAGGCCATTGCAAGTGTTTGTTCGAAAGGAATAGATGTAAGATGCATAGAACATCTGTAGGCTGTGCTAGTTTACTTGTTAGGAATCCATGCTTGTAATTATGCATGTTAAAAAAGATAGGTCTACCTGGATTGTGGATTATGGCTACTAGTATAAGTACAGGGAATGCATGTCAATTCACGTGATGTTTTAATCTCTTTTAGCTGTTTGAAAAACATATTGGCCCTTAGGATTTCTATTTGCGCATATACAAAAGAAATAATATGAAAGTATTTTTACAGATTTTTTTTAAAACATTGTCGTAATTTAAATGTGCTAACAAGACTAAACCTTGAATCACATCCAAAAAAGTAATCTGTGCCTGTAATGCCCACAAATTATAAATACCTCCAGTATTGTATCCCTATCGTACACATACATGATTTCTGTCTTTGTTTTGTACTTGTAATATGTTGGATAAACATGTTGAGACTAAATTGCACGAATAAATGTTAACCTGCTGTTCCTTTTCATGGTTCTTATCTTTTTCATGGTGATTCGGTTGACTTAACGTAAGTGAATTGTGGCACCACGAAGGCATGATATTGGGTGGATTAGAAATAGAAAAGTTATGGCAACAGACATTCAATATAAGTATTGTATTTAGTAAATCCAAATCATTTTGATCCAGATATTTAGTAAGCTTATATCAATTTCACCCAGACAATTAGTAAATGTAAATCAGTTTCACCCAGATCATTAATAAATATTAATCAGATTCCACCAGATATTTAGTAAATCTAAATTACCATTGCTCAGATATTAAGTAAATATAAATCACTTTTCCTTGTAAAATCTATTTGGATTTACACAATTTTTTTTAGGCTATATAACTCATCATTTGGAATCCTATCACTAAATCCAACACATTTTAACTGTTGCTTTATTACCATTTACTTATTTTTTATTATTATTTTTTTGTTAATTTATTCAACACTTTTTATTCAAAGTTGTAGTGCTTAAAATCTACTCAATTATATCACGTGTCACTTTGTTGCCATAATTTTTTTAAGTAACAATGTGTCACATTTTTTACAGTGCATTGATACATACCCATGGTCACACTGATACATACCCATGGTCACACTGATACATACCCATGGTCACACTGATACATACCCATGGCCACATTGATAAACGCCCATGGCCACACGGATACAAACCCACGGACACATTGATACATACCCATGGTTGCATTGATACGTACCCATGATCACATTGATACATACCCATGGACACATTGATACAGACCCATGGACACATTGATACATACCCATGGACACATTGATACATACCCATGGACACATTGATAAACACCCATGGTCACATTGATACATACCCATGGTCACATTGATACATACCCATGGTCACACTGATACATACCCATGGACACATTGATACATACCCATGGACACATTGATACATATCCGTGGCATAAGCCTGCAGTGGTCAACATTCCCAGCAACTGGGAGAATCAATTCTGCGGTGGATCTCAACGGAGGAATCAGCGATCCGCTCTCATCGACAATTAACTCGGGTGGATCTAACCCTGCAATATCCTCTAGACCAGCATTGCCACTTTCCCCGATAAGACATCGTCGGTAGTGTGAGGGCCGTCACACCATTTGAAACCATTGTGTTGGGTTTGACAGCAGCACGATGGTGCGGTGTTCTCACTCTGTGTCTTGTTAAGGGCTACACTCGAGGCGACCAGGGGCCGCGAGTAGACCACGGGGGCCTTGCAATGAAGAACGCTGCTCAAGACACACCAATCAATATCGCCATCTAGTGGTAGAAGCTACTATGGTTTCAATGAACAAATCTTAAGTATGGGATTTTTATGTCAACTATTTAAACTACTTTTAAAACTTTACACTATTTTTATTACCAGGTAAATCACACTGAGCTATGTAGCTCTTTTTCAGAAGCGACCTGGCCACAAATGATAGCTCAACGAAGTGGCTTATCACGTGGAGATTTAAACCAGCCAAATACTCTAAACACGTGATGTCGATTCTAAATGTGGAGGAAAAACCCAGAGGACTCGGAGAAAAATTCACGCGACGACGGGGAGAGAGACACGCAAACTCCAAATACACAGCAGGCGTCAGGGTTGGGATCGAACCCACGCGCTCCTGTATACCAGGCGACGTAGTTAACATCTTCCATCGGATGTGACGAGAATCGCCGATGTCAGAAAGGCGTTCTGATTTGTCCTGAGATCCACGCATTGACCACAGCCGGGCCTATCCCGACACGCGTTTAGTAGCATCAGATTATATCAATAACATGACGACTTCAAATCGTTACTTATAAATTACAGTATATACGCACCCAACCTTAGTCTATGTGTGAATTATAGTTATCATTATCTTGATGCATCATTTTATTTTGGAGTCAGACCACGAGTGCCCTATCCCTGCACATGTTCATATTATATCAATCACATCACTCGACTTGAAATCATTACTTATAAACCACAGTATATATGCACACAACCGTAAGCTATGTGTGGATTATACAGGGTGTTTAAAAAGATGGACCCGATTTGAAATCGCTATATCTCTCCAACCACGAACCGCCCATGAATGAAACCCTTACCACTTGAACGGGCGGGACATAAGAGTTTCAAATGACTACTGCTCGATGCCTCTCCCAGCGCACAAACAGCCCCGAGCCTCGGTCATTCGCAAGACTCACTGCCTCAACGTTGGGACCCCAAGAATTGGCGCTACACTCTTGGCCCCCAAGATCCCCAGACATCACACCCTGCGACTTTTAATTGTGGGGAAACGTCGAATACCGTGTGTGCCACCATTAGCGACGAATCTGGATGACCTCAAAAACAGAATCAAGGCAGCGGTGACTTCAGTGGAAGAAGACGCTTTGAGAGGCATTTGGGATGAATTCAACTCTCGTCCCGATGTTGTCCGTACAGCAGGTGGAGGGCACATAGAGCATTTTTAAAATGGTTAGTAAAACTTGATAACTCATTAAACCGTTTGTAACTTTTAGTGTAATTGTAACATGTTGCCATCGTGAAATATACTGCTTTGAAATGGGGTCTATCTTTTTAAACACCCTGTAGTTATCATTATCTTGATTCATAATACAATTTTGGAGTCAGACCGCGACTGCCCGATTCTTGCACACGTTTTTCGTAACATCAGATTATATCAATAACATCACTCGACTATAAATCGTCACTTATAAACTATAGGACATATTTACCCATCCAACCTTGGACTATGTATGGATTTTATTTATCATTATTATCTTGATTTATAATAGGGTCAGTTCGCTAGTGGCCTAACCCTACACGCGTTTATTAACAGGTTATATCAATAAGATCACTCGACTTTACATCGTTACTTATGTAGGGAACTAAATAGAGAATAAACGTTATATGGAGCAACCAAAGATTTATAAAATAGAAAAAACACAGATGCTGAGAGGAATTAGAAATAGAACAGGTGGTGGAGAGATGATGAATGATAGGGCACTGTAGCAGAAAAGGGCACGTGGTTAACGAGAGACAAGACACGTGGTTAACGAGACATAAGACACGTGGTTAACGAGACAAGACACGTGGTTAGCGAGACAAGACACGTGGTTAACGAGACAAGACAAGTGGTTAACGAGACACAAGACACGTGGTTAACGAGATATAAGACACGTGGTTACAGGATGATTGATGGGAAGGCACTGCAACTAGAGACAGGCACGTGGTGGCTAATTAATGGCGGGGTAGCAGCTATGAATGAGGAGCGTCGCCGACAGGAAGCGCGCTTGCCTGGGACGAAGACGAAGTGTGTGCAGCTACGCTGGAGCTGTTCCTCGCCAAGAGTTGTGAACACCCAACGGAAACTGTTAACAAAAACGGTTTTACCTTCCTCTTGTTCAATACACCTCGTCGGAGCTTCTAAGCACTTATTAACTACATCATACATACGAACCCCACCTCTAGACTATGTATGGATTATAGATATCATTCTTATCTTGATTCATAATTGACTTTTGGGGTTAGATCGTCGTGTGATTATGTGTGGCGTGTACCCCGCTCCACCTAACGGTCCACCTTAGGAATTAATAAGTATTAATTAACTTTAATTAATAATACACTTTAATTCATCGTTAATGTATTAGTAACTACTCGTAATTCATTACATTGATAACGCCGATGCGTACAGTACAACCTGGGCAACCGTGAGGTTCAAATTGTTACCAACTGGCCGTCCCATTGGTCAGCTGAGAGCCAATGAGAGCGACGCATGGCTCGGAGCCAACCAGACCCCACTCGCAGCGATTCAATTGTCACGATTCGGGGTCACGATCAATTTTTTACAAAGTATATAGTTTTCCCCATTTCTTATCCCTTTAACATTACAGTGCTTTTAGCCGGGAGAGAATTCACGAGACCAGGATAGAGTCCCAGGCTCCCCATCTCAAAGGAAGCTCACCACAGACATTTAGACTGAGGGCATCCCTAAGACCACGGAGGTCCTGGAGCTCCTCCAAACTCGTCTCCCTCCACGGCCTTCTACGGGTACAGTAGAATGCACTCGTGAGCACAATACATAATATTTACTCATGTTATCATACGTTATTTTTTTTAAGAAATCATGTTTACCATATAGTATTATTAGCGCGATTACCAATATACCAACGAAGCCCTCTTATGTTGCTAAAACGAAAACATTACTCTGTAGGGAACGCATCCCCATATCTACAATGATATCATGACCCCTTGAAGCGCCAATTCGATTAGCGTTGCTCACTTCTCTAGGAACAACGTTTCTTGAGCGCTAAGCGGTGTCTGCCTAAATTCCTATAAATATTTTTTACTGATATTATCAACGTTTTTTTGTAATTTTCATTCTAAGGATATTATCCTTGGACATGATTACACATCAGGATCAGGGAGAGAGGGATGAGTCTATCAACATTAGAGGATGGGGGCAGGGGTGGGGCGGGCCCAACCCAACCTGGGGAGGCCCCAGAGAGATTGGTCAGCTTGGTTCAAAAGAAAAAATAGCGGGAAAGTGGAATAGGGGGAGGAGACAGTGCGGAGTTGGTTGTGTGGCAGAGAGATGGGATTGGTGGAGGTAGAGGGGGCACGAGAGGGAGAGGTATAAAAGGAGAGCGTCGAGAAGGGGAAGAGAGACTTGCTGGGAGGAATGGCGGCTGGAGGCTTGTGAGTCGGTGTGCTCTAATAAAGGTCCTCAAATCCGACGTTGGTGTCCCGAGCCCTACATTATTATGTTCACCTTAAATGTCAGTGGTAATGTCAGTAACATTGTCCAATTCATATTTCTGTTTGCAATGTTACTCGTGAAACATACATTGAATTGCAGGGCATATTGTTTAACGTTGTGTGTGTGTGGTCACCCTCGTTATTTAGGGGTTGGTGGTGGCGCTAATTGCAGACTCTGAGGGCAGGCACCTGCAAGCACTGTGGTTCTTTGTGTGAGGCGTTACGTTTCACGTTTCATCACCTTATTTTTAAATAAACCATTTAATTTCTCACTTTCAAAAAAAGTTGTTAAAAAGTATAAACTTTTGGGGCTGAAACGTAACCCAGCTTTCACTGTCGGAGTCAATGGGAAAACACCTTTGGCGTCCTCTGGTCAAACACAGTTTGAGACTAGGCTCTAAAGAAAGCTGTCTCTGGTGTGGACCAATCCGTTTCAAAGACAATGCATGATACTATCAGAGCATGTTTTTTTGTTTGCATGTTCACCACAAGTATATGTGGTTAATGCCGACATGATTCCTTGCAAAGGTTTCAGTTTGGTGTTTTAACGTCTTAACACCTGTTTTATTGCCAGAAAGGGGAACCCCCTATTATCTTCATTTTTTCTCTTAAGAATGTTCATCGAGAGCAGGGAGGCTGGCAACCAAAATAACGAGAAGTGCCATTTTTGTTTTAATTCGGTATTTCAAGAGCTCGCAATCTGCGTGGTGATTACGAGATGGTGGCCCTTAATGAATAACGTCACGAAGCATTCGGCTCTGGAGTCACAGGTTGCTGACCCCTGATCTAAAGAGATGTGAATGATGTTCTGTGTGTGTGATGATGTGCGCGTATGACTCCGCGTGATCCCGTGCCATCGTCGTATGATGTATGCGGGAATGAGATTCCTGTTGTGTGTGACGATCGCGATGGCACGGAGCAGAGTATGAGATGAGCTATCACTTGAGCTCAACGATTGACAGATAATTATTATCAGACTCCGAGCACCACAACCCAACAGCTGGCACAAGAGGTTGGGTAAAGTGGTGGTGAAATGAGTGCAAGAGCTCCGTGGTGCCATGGCGGTAAAATGACAGGAGCCTCGCCTCCCAATCCAGAAAAATGGCGACTTTGTTAAAACCCCAACTCTTTTCTCTTTTAAAGAATTCCACTCCCCCGTGCAGAACTTTGATTGTGCTGCCATCTTTTTCTAAACACCAGGACATGGAGTTCTGTCCCAACCAACATTCCTTACCAACTCCGTTATGTGGCATTGTTTTAAATGCGACCCCCACACAACACTTTCTACAATTGCTCACATCCACCTCCCAGTAGCGTCGCCCCGATGAGAAGCTCTCATAGCCCAGGACTTGTGACCGTGACTCGTTTGGGGAAGTTTGGGAAGAACGGATTTGTTTCACTGTTCTGCGATCTTCGGAAATTTGGAGGTGTGGATGAGACGAGGCTGCGTTCAGAGTTGGAGAACAACCATCTGTGAACAACAATTATAAAATTACATTGTCCAAATAATACTGAAAGAGAGTGAGCATTTAATGGGCAATGCTGCGAATAGGACACGCTGTCACTTACACCTTATGCGAGATACTAATTCTTCCATAATTGAGACCCAACCCGTATGCCCTTCTTGTAGTTACACTCTGGCTCTATGTCTTCCCTTAAATTCCCCATATTCTAGCTCATCCAAGCCCTTTTATTGACCAGCATGTGCACACTCCACATCCAAAAGCCATAGGTAGCGTGGATCAAAAATAATGCACTGGATTCACTGAAGAGACATTGCAGGGTGCAACCATTAAACCTGTCCCACATTGGCTTGTGTGGTGTATAAACGTGTGTGGGTGCTATTGGCACTGCCATGGTAGTGCAAATAGCCGCTCTCTTCATCCACATGCACTTGTGTGGGTCTCGGAAAATGGGTGTGTGCTTACGCATGGCCACATGTACTTACGCATATACACACATGTCAAAAAGTACTTCCAAATGTCTACATGTATCACTCGCTTGGCTTATATAGAGATGGTCGGTGGACGAATTATCTAGGTTGCAGATAAAACAATTACTGCAATAAGTAAACATTTCAATTTCTGTATGTGCACGCGGCTTTAATCGTGAGCTGCTTTTCATTCGTTGGGAGTAAGTGACTCAGAACCCATGTGACCGCAAACACGTTGGGATGTCAGCCTATTACTATACTTAGGTACTAAAACAATGCATTTATAGCCTAATTTAAATATTAGTTGCATTATCTGTGATTTTTTTTTCTCCATAATAGCCTGGAACAAATGACGTTCCACACATCGTTATTTAGCTCCTCTTGACAAATGTATTCAGAAGGGCCACTGCCTGTTGTTTGTGATGTTATCGTTCCCAAAGTGGAGGACCTTCCACTCATTATTCCAAGAGCCAGAACGAGTCCATCTGTATTCCACAAATGTTCAAGAGGAACTGGTCCAGCTCCCCAGCGAGCTTTCCATGCATGCGTAGAGGGAGATAGAGACCCTCCTGCGGTGTCTAGAGCTTGAAACACGACATGAGGTCTCGGCTTCAGCTCCACCATACAAAATGCTAAAGACAAATATCTCGCGTGTAGCCTTAACAGACTGTTGGGGCAAGTGCTGTTAGCGAGTAGCAGCTATGAAGGCCGACACAGCACACGAGGGGGTGGGTGGTTATCATGCCCGACCTCCTTTGTCTCCCCAGTGGCGATGTTTACTACACTACACACCACACCAGGTGCTCATTTGAGGCTGAGTCGACCTAGGGGAGGTCCAAGACCAGTTGATAGATTCGTGACTGGTGTTGGCCATGACCGGGAATCAAACTCAGGTCGCCGGGTTCGTAGTGCAGCATGCAAACCACTACACCACCACTCCCCGTATACACAATGCACACATCCAGACACCCACACCTCCACCCATACTCACAAGACTTTGAGAGCCGGAGAAGCAGATATTTGCCTGCGTTCGCCTGAAGAGAGGGGATTGGGTCATCGACGCGTTTTTTAAACAAATTCTTCCACCAACTGCATTCACAGGGAAAGGATGAAACCTATATTCAATAATCAGTTACACACATACATACGATACACATATCTAGATGTATGCACTGGGAGAGTCACAATTTAAAAAGCTGTCATGCTTTTTAAGTATGTGTAGAGATGTAAATAGCGTCTCTATGGCGTGTACGCCAACTACGCCCACAACTAGTAAACATGTAGGTACGTACCTCTCTCTGACACCGGGAGAGATACGGCGGAGAAGCGGGCCCGAGAGGGCAGGGTTTCATTGCAGAGAGAAAGAGGGTACGTTGACACACGGGATAGCGGAATGGGGGCTTGAGGGACATGTGACGCTCGTGAGGATAAGAGAGATGTGGGCAGAGCGATTATGGTTGATCTGGGGCGGGAACGGACCGGGAGAGGTTGCTTGGTGATCGGGGTTGGTTCGGGGGTCGTCGGGGAAGTTATGTTACGTGGAGACCCGGTTGGGGTCTAGGATAACCAAGGATGTAGTTAACCCGTAGCCCTGTTGTTGAATAAATCGTGGTGCCTCCAGATCTCTGTGTGTGTCTCGTGAGTCACACTACATGTGTATTAATGCAGCGCCCATAGCTGTAAGAGTCACGTGAAGCACAAAGCTACGTGAATCGAAAATTATATTTAGGGGCCGTCCATAAATGACGTTACGCACCTAGAGGGGGGGGGGGGATTAGACATGTGTGACGAAGGGGGGGTTTGAGAAATGTGACGTCACATCAAAATGCGCAACTTTAAATAAATATTGACAACACGTTCTACTTAATTAAATAGACTTTTTAATAAATGTTTTCTCCTACAACATCAGAGTGCAGCGCCACATTAAATACGCACTACAATGCCAATAGTTTAAAGCGATTTGCAGCATGTTTCATTTGGAGGAGGGGCAGAGCTTTGTGACGTCATATTTGAGGGAGGGTCTGACTTTTTGTGACGCCGTGTGACTAGGGGGGGGGGGGGGTCAAAAATCGTCCAAAATCGCGTGACGTAATTTATGGACGGCCCCTTATGAGCATACGAATTCACGTTAAATCCATCAATAGACATGGTCCAGTAACACCTCTCGAATCCATACACAAGTAGGTGGGAAAGGCCTACCAAAAAATAACTGAAGAACATTTTAAAGAGATTAAAACCTCCAACTAGAACACTTTCCGTGCACTAATTAGGCCGTACGTGAAAAGTGCTCCGAGCAAGAGGATTCTTCATTGGTAATCTAGTTCTTATTTCAGTCAGAGCAAGAGTTCACGTCATAAACACTGCATTTTTTTCCTCCATTAATATAATCTTCCGCTATTAGGTTTTTTAAAGTGTCGCATCGTTGTGATGGATGAGTGGGATGGCAGTGCTACAATGAAATAAAAAAGGTATGAAAAGATGTGGGCATCATAGATTCCACACACACCGTTGTCGTCAATTAAACCAAGTCCACGTTTTGTGTCACAAAGTGTTGCCTATGTGGTAACACTTCTAGTACGGAGATGTTTAAAGGCAATTCCACCTAAAACCTTCAATAGTAGTAGTCTTAAATGGTAAAACTCAATTATTGTGCCAAAAGATGCAAACGCAAGGGCACAATGATATTGCCATGTAATCAACATTCTGAAAACGCCAGAGAAAGAGAGCTCGTGTTAACAAAACGTGTACACAACAAGGCTCCATGCTAAGAGATGGATGTCTATTCTGCATTTCAGGACTTGACACTAGGGGGCCGATACTACATTACATTCTCCAAAAATCATGGCCTCCGTGGACATTTCTCCATGGATCGCTCAGTGATTCTTCTTCTTTCGTATGTATTGTGAAAAGCAACAGTTTTACATTTTTCTTATTGATCGTCAAAAATGAATGCAAAGGTTCTTCATCCAGTTCAATGATGTGGTTGACGCAGTGTGGATTTCAGCGATCCCGCCAGGATATGCATGGATAGAGCATTCATCGGTGATGTGCTTGATGATTTGGACTTCTTCACAGTCGCAGTTGGGCGATTCTTTGATCTTCCATTTATGGAACGTGTACATGCATCTGCCGTGTTGTGTTCGAGCGCGGTTCAGCGTGGTCTATAGTCGTCGTGGAATAGAGAATCCCGGTACTTCCACCATCGGATCGTGAATTATTTTTTTGTTTGCCACGTCCATAGTCGCCCATGATTCAGTCCACCAATTGGCGGTCTTTATTTTTGGCTGCTAGAGCTGAGGCGCGTTTTCAGAATGATTTCCTGGATTTTAGACTTTGGCATGGAGGTTCCTTTAGATCTTTATGGAGCGGCAGAGTGAAGTCCTTCATTATCTTATTGTACTCCAGTGTCATCGCATCATCGCGTTGGATGTTGGCCAGAGCGATATTCGCCAGCACAGGAATCCATGGAAGTGGAGTAGATTTTAGGGAACCCGCTGATTATACGAAGCGCGTTGTTAAATTCTGTGTCGACAAGGTTCATGTGAGGACTTGTACCCCAAACCGGGGCACAGTACTCCGCAGTGGAATGAACAAGGGCTTGCGTCTATATCTGCCTCAGTGCCCTCCATTTTCCGTGCTTGAGTTGTGAGTGCGATATCATCCGCATATGTGAACATACGGCAAGATGTCACTGGAATGTTGCTAGTATAGAGATTGAGCAGCGCTGGTGCCAGAACTGATCCCTGCGGGTGTCCATTGTTCAATCTTCGTGGTCTTCAGGAAGCTTCACCAAGGTGGACAGTGAACCATCAGTTGCTCAGCATTTCGTTGATTAGTCTAATTGTCGGGCGGCAATACACAGCTTTTGCAAGCTTCAGCAGAAGTCATTTCCACCATACGGTATCGTAGGCTGAAGCGAGGTCGATGAAAGCTGTTGCTGTTTAGAGCTGGCTCAGTGACCATGACCTAGGATTTATACTGGTTCACGAGAATGCGTCGTTCCGTACGTCGACACATCACTCACTGCCCTGATTGCTTGCTTCACCATATCCGACCTGCGACACCTCATCACATAGATGTACTCAAATTGCTGACATCTTTCATCAATGTACACGGACTACCTGCTCGCATCATTAGCAACACGGTTCCTGTTGCACCTCAATGGAGTTTTCCGAGATCTGTGAGACGCTTTACATCCAAGTGTACACTCAACTTGACCAAACACCCACAGAGCAATGGACAAGCGAAGCGTGCAAATAGAATGGTCGCACATCTCATCACGATCCTGATCCAAGGGGAGTACGATCGTGATCGGATAATATTGAGATCATCGATGGCATTCTACATCGTACTGTCAACCTAGTGACAGGGAAGAGGTGCAGCTGGTCCACGTTCCACGTTTCAACAATGGAGTCCTCCGTGTGACTGAGACATGGATGACATCGAGCTTGGCAAGCACAAGCTCAGCTTCAAGTCATTGCATGTCAACGTAGTGAACAGAAGCAGCAGTATATGAAGAGGGCCTCTCACGAGCATCACCACGGTAATGCAAAGCTCGCCATGGGAAACGCCATTTAAACCCGACTGGAGCCGGGCACATTGGCCCATCGACGCACATGCAGTCCATGTACAGGGTGTCCGTGAAGTCCCTAACTATTTTGTTGAACCAATGGTATGTAAATATGTTGTTTTGCAGGGTCCTATGAATCTGAATATACAAGGACGTGTGATGGTAGTAACAGTTGCAATAAGAATGGGGACTCCTTGTCATTACGCAAACATCGTATTGGGAGAAGCTTAACAAAGTTTTCCCAATCGCTGGATGGGACGTGCCAGCAACAGGCCCTGGACAGCTCCATCTCCAAATGTAACACCTTTGCATTTATTCGCACGGTATCTTCATCAAGTCAGAGGTGAACCGAACATGAGTTACAGATCTAAAAGACTGACGACGTCGTGTTTCGGGATGGCAATTACACAAATAACTCCAATTGTTGCAACACATGTTCCGTATTGCAGTTGACATATCTGAGGTGTGCAGAGATATCGACAGTGCTCATGTAGCATCCAATGCTTAAGTGTTTTTAGTAAATATACCTACGATTACATTGCATAATTTACCCCTACATTTATTTGATTTCATTCAAATAGACAGGGACTTCATGGACACGTTGTATAAGTGACCAATAGTAGTCACCTGGCAATACGTATCGTGTTGAGAAATTGGATGAAGCCAACCGATAGCAACGTCACGACGTGCCACACGTCTCGACTGAAGTCGTGGCGTCATCGATAAGAAGAAGGGAACGGCAGCTCCAGTGAGGAGATGTCACCCGGATTACCATTGCATCAGCATGAGATCGACAACGGCAGTGCGGATGAGACAACATTGTCAATAGACATTACAATGGGTAATCCAGCCTCCAGCATCAGCATTGTCTGGCTCGATTAAAGTGTGATCGTTATTGCTCCAGGGTGGTTTAGTTTGCTGATAAATGGCATGAAGGTTGCGTATGCTATTGATGTAAATGACAGTTCCTGATTCGATCTAAATGGAGGCTGATTTAATCGTCAGCAGAACTTCTAGACAGTTGATATACAGAAGATCGAGAGACAATAACGGTGACTGGGAGGTGCTGTTTGTTGTTGCTCTCGAAGCTGTTTAATAAAGACAATTACATTGTTTTATAACGGCTCATTGACCGTTATTTATTTATCGTTATGAGACCATCCTAAGTGTAATTATCTTAATCTGGTTTCTTAGTAAGGTGCCGAGGAGGCAAGGGCCATTTGCCACCTCTTAGTTGAAGTGAGGTTGCTGGGTTCATAGCACAGTGCGTCGAAGCCTGCGCCACTGCTCCACCTCGCATAGATACTTGTTAGATGTCGCTTGAAGTACGCATATGTTTAAACTTGTTATATAATAAGGTTGTGGTTATCTTCCCTTATCTTTTCGGGTACTTATTTACTTTATTTTTTCGGGAAATGTTGACCGAAAGAGTTAGCACAAACATTGTATCCTAAATATACATATGTATGTTGTACTTCTTTCACACCATGCATAGCCAACCGTGCTCATCGGCGGTGCTATCATGAAGCCAATGGTAAATTAAGCTTTGATTTATGTTTCGCTTAACGTCGCGTTTTCTAGGAAGGCATCCCCAACGTAAATAGAGGACTTACGTCAACATAGGTCTCCTCTCCGGGGGCCTCGAGCTCGCATTACGTTCCTTGGGCGGACAAAGACACAGACGGCTCTCGTTAATCTCCATAAAGTGATCGATTCACAAGCCATTGGGTCTCGCCAATGGTGTCACAACCTGATTGGATACCTTCTCATTAAGTGCGTGATATCCCTATGGCCCAGCTCCAAGACATGACTCAACCCAGTCACCGATATGACATCTCCAGTCCTCAGACGTGAACAAGAGATCCATGGCTGGTAGTTGAATGGCCACTCAACGCAAGGTCCCTGTAGACCATAGGGAGATGATGATGATGATAATGAACTAAATGGATCCTCATACGAGACAGTAAGATATCAGCTTCTGATTGCAAGTTGAGTGTTGCTATACACATGACAAAGAGATATATAAAATTACGTATTATTTTTAATGCTTCAAATGCAAAAACATCAACTATTTAAGATGCCTTGAATGAAACAGACTATAGGGCAATCTTAGAACAGACCTGGTCTCACCTCAACTAATCTAAACTATTTTTATTTTACCAGGTAAGGCCCACTGAGGTATATCGCTCTTTTTCAGAAGCAACCTGGCTATCACAAATGATAGCCCAATGAAGTGGCTTATCATGTGGAAATGTTAAGCCGCCAAATAATCTAAACATGTGTTTCTAAATATGGAGGGGAAAACCGGATAATCCGGAGAAAAAATATCTCGACCACAGGGGGAGAGAGAGAGGGGAGAGAGAGAGAGAGGGAGAGACGCAAACTCCAAATATACAGAAGACGTCAGAGTCAGGATCGAACCCACGACCTCCAGCATACCAGACAATGTAGTTAACATCTCCTAGCCACCACCTGACTGGGTCTCACCTCAATGTGAATCTTAATGAGCCTCGATGTCACCTGATCATCCTCTAAGAAGGCGATGGAATCCTGCAGTGCCATCACTTTCTTCAGGTTGCCAATGTCTTCGGTGAGGGTCTCTATATTCTTCACGTGCGCCTCAATTTTTTTCTGGATCCGCGACAGCTCCTGGCGGCTCTTCTCCTGCACTCCCCACAGGGCCTCCTGCTCCTCCTCATCCAGCAGTCGCCTCTCAAGGGCGAAGCTCTCCTTGATCCGATCCCTGACATTTTCAGTCAAGTCCTGGAGACCCACACAAGATATATTTACATCACCACACGCACTGGCAGTGGACACTGGCAAGAGGCTGGACCGGTGTGAGTGTCCAGCAAAGTGACCCCAATGTGGCCAGCGAGCTCAAAATAACCACGAGTTCGCTCACCTCACTCTCTGCTGCTACGCTCCGGATTCACTCCCCTCGTTTTCACTCACCTCCACTGCTGCAACTCTCTTATTCGTGGCCTTTCTGCCAACGCCTTCGCTCCTCTCGAGCAGATGTATAACTACGTAGCCAACCACGCTGATCAGAGGTGCGGATACAAAATGCTTCAGCCAGGATCATGTTTAACCTCCCACACAAAGCCCACACGTCTGCTCTCCTTTCTCAACTCCAACTGGCTCCCTGTCTACTATCGCAGTCTGTTTAAACGTCTCACTCGAGTCTACAAATCCCTCCGTGTTCTTGCTCCACCCTATCTCGCTTCTGTTGTCTCTCACTGCACTGCCCCTACATCCCTTCCTCTCTGCTCACAGTCTCTACCTCCCTTAAAACAACCGTCATCTCTTCTCCCTCGCCCATCCTGCTGCTACTGCTACTCGCTGTCCCCACCCTGTAGCTACGACCAGGCCTTCCCCAACCCCTATCACTCCCCTAACCCCTCTCACTACACCTATCACTCCCCCTATCACTACCGCAACCCCCTATCACTACCCCAACCCCTATCACTCCCCTAACCCCTATCGTTACCCCTATCACTACACCTATCACTATTCCTATACTACCCCTTTACTACCCCTATCACTACCGCAAACCCTATCACTACCCCTACCACTACCGCAACCCCTATTATTACCCCTCCATAATCTCTCCCGCCTGCTTTCCAAACGTTCACGTAACTACACCACCACTTGTAATAACCACACCCTTTATCTCAAGCACTATAATCGTATGTACCATTTGTATAATTGCTGTAAAGTACCTTAGGTTAAGGCGCTATAGAAATCTAGATAATATAAGAGTGGCCACTGCTGACTTCTTAGCTTTAAGCTCTGTGGGCGTTTGTGTGTCTATTACATTACGGATATTAATTATGTAAGATATACTGCACCAGTGCATTTCTTTCAGGCATCATATCTGCGCAACCACACATCTATGACACTGGTGCAGAGACAAGGCCATGAAGGAGGTTGTCACTGGTGTAGGCCAATCAGTTTCAATGACAATGCATACATGATCAAAGTATATGTATTTATACTTAAAGCTTTCGTGACTGCAGGAATTCATATTCTCTGGGTCTTTTGGTAAAGTCACGTAGATAGGTTCAAAGAAAATAACAAAAGACTACGACGTTTCGATCGCAACACAAGCGGTCGTCATCAGGATGTGTGTGTTGCGATCGAAATGTAGTAGTGTTTTGTTATTTTCTTTGAACCTATCTATGTGACTTCACAGAAAGACCCAAAGAATATATATATTTATTCGTATTTTTCTGCATTCAATATCTTGATACTGGTGAAAGGATCCTATATAAGCCTATCTGTTGTTTGATTGTAAAGCAGTGCTTACGGTGCCCAGAGTAATTGTAGATTGTTGGTCGGCGAAGCAGCGCAAAGGCAGATGTAAAATGATCACGTAAAATGTTAACATTTCTACAATGTTCACATACGCTGCGTATTTATTTCAAACGACTCGCATTTGTTTGAATTGGTGCAGCATTCATAGCCAACCGATTAGCATGGTTGGCTACATACGCTGTGAAAGAAGTTCAACATACAACCGGACAAATTTTAAAGATGAACCTCTTATTATTTCGATAATTGGTGAATACATTTGTCATAAAAGAGACGTTAAAATTGGTATGAACAGACCAAGATTCACCAAGGGGTAGGACAGCTTCTGGAAATCGGTGCAAGTCCATAATAAAGGTTTTTGTGTTATATCGCGTAAATATAAATGTCGTTAAAACCTGCGACCACTCGACACAGCCAATTAGTAAGGGTTTGTCACGTAAACAAAACGTGCTAATTCGTCACTAGTTCAGCCCTAACTAGTTGTGTTTTGGAGAGTAAACCCACTACAACGTTTACGATTCGAGAATAATGGTGCAAGTCGTTTGTAAATACAGTACGTGTATATTGGGACTGCAGTCATCTGAAGACAGACAATTATCATCTACCTGAAAAGATTTGAATGAATTCTTCAGAGAAGTGACAGACTTTTCTTCCGTAGTCTTCTCCTTTTCCATTCTTCTATTCTCTCCTGCAATTGCCTCCTTTGGTGAGACGCCAGCAGAATAGATAGAACATGTCAAGGTAATGAGATCAATTATTGGGACATGAGCAGAGAAATTGCTTCACAAATGTGTCGAAAGTCTAGAAATCTGTAATTGTACTGAGATCCAGTGTCATAATAGAAAACAAATCCAACATCAACGGAGATAAGGATGTTGGAGTGAAGGATCAATGAATAACATAATGACTCTAACCAGTGCCGGATTAACCTAGTAGCAAAAGTAGCATATACTATGGGCCCCGCACTTTCAAGGGCCCCAAGATAAATGCTTTCAAGTGATCAATTCCGCTTGAGTGATTCTGCACTTGCTCTTTTACTATAGTCCTATACTGCCTTCAACTTATGAAAGACTGGGTGTTTAAGGTTAGTGATTTGTCGTATTATCTGGCTGTATAGCAAATTTAAAAATACAATTACTTTACTATGCAAGTAAAAAATTCGTGTTTTAATATCTACGTTTTTTTATTTAGGGCCCCCTTGTAACATATGCGACAGGCCCCGCACTAGCTTAATTCGGCACTTACTCTAACCAATCGTCCGAAAGACAAAATGGCCACACGTTCCTCCATACAGCATGGCCGCTATGACGTCACTGCTTGAGCCAGATTGTGGCTGATGTAAGTACACATGTAGTGGCATAGCGCTGGCTGCTGGCGAAAAAGGGGAACTGCGGTGTACGGCAGTACTCGCGTCAGCAGGCCACGATAGAGGCTTTCATTCTCTGTAGATAATATTGCCTCGGGTAAATAGCTTTTTTATATTGTACTTTACATATTCAAAGTGTTGAGCATTCACATATATTTTATTTCCATGTAGAGTGCTCTGAAGGCGCCTTTATTGCGATCGTTAGCACGATATATTCTGTCACCGTTTTGTAAACTGTCAAGTGGCTTGAGTGAAGGCACTTTATAAATATGAATTAGATCAGATGTATTGATTTACTATACTCTATGTAGACTCACATTTCAATGGAATAACTTCTCGAAATGATTGATACCGATACAGTACAACAAGTCCTCGTTTAATGTGGTAGATGCGTTCCTGAAATTTTAAGCAAAAGATGCGTGAAGTGAAAACAATTTCCCAATAAATAATATAACGATAAAGTTTGGTGAGATACAATGTACACACACACATAGTGAGGGTACGCTGCCACGTTGATGTATCATTCTGCATACTGTATCACTGTACCGCTCAGTCGGACATTCCGCGTTATAACGAGGTAAAAATTCCTCATTGTGCAAAAAGTGTTTGCAAAATGTAAGAACCGGGTTATAGCGAAAATGCCTTATAGTGTGATCACGCGTTAGGTGAGGACTAACCAACAGTGTTGACAAAAGCACAAATAACGAAAGCATCTCTCTGCTATGAAGCAAGGTCATTGCTCAAAACGCATTTTATGTTTGTCCTTTTAGGGCAGCGTTATTGACGAATGTGTTGAGTTAGTTGAATTAGTTTGTTAAAACAGCTAGATAGGATTGGGCAAACTGAGCTCACATTTCATCCATAAAACTGCACAGCAGCATAGACTGAGTGTCACTAACCTAACATTGACTCTAACAATGACATATTTAAGAATCACAGTTAGGAGACAAACAACATATACACTTTTTAAAATAATTAATATGAATATTTTTAATTACGTATCGATGTATTTGATGGAATTGTGCAATGACGATCACTCACCTTCACCTTGTTTTGCTTCTCCTCCACGGTGATGGCATCGCAGCCTTTGTGACCTCCCACCAGCATGCAGGTCGGGCAGACCAGACACGCGTGTGTCTGGCAGTAATACCTCATGGGCTCCGTGTGATCTCTACATTTGCTTCTCAGCGCGGCCTTAAACTTCTCCACCAAGTCGGCTATGAACACGTTCTTGCCGAGCTCTGGCTTCAGGGCGTAGCGCCTGCGACACTGAGGGCAGGTGAAGCGGACGTGCACCGCCTCTACATCCCAGGCTCTCTCCACACATATCTTACAAAAGTTGTGGCCGCAGGCAAGACTCACGGGGATGTCAAACAGTTGGAGACAGATGGGGCAGGAGAAATCGTCCTCTTGTCTTGACGAAGCCATGGTCTCTGGCGAATGCACGACGCCACTGCGGTGGGGCTCTTTTAATAGATGCGTGGAATTAGGAAATCTAAATTTAGATGCAGTGGTTAGGTGCACGCCTTGACACGTCAGCTGCGAAGCAAAAATTCGACATTTCAAACTGGTTGAGTATGGACAATACTGCTTGTTCCCCACGGTCTGGTTAAAGACTCAGCACTCCGTTTGCCAAAAGCACTGCAAGGTAGGCACAGTAGGTGGAGAGGTGGATAGATCTACCTGCCACTTTTTGAAGGGCGACTGATCAAAACGTTGCCTGTTATTTTAGACGTCAACCCCACGGTTTGTAAGCCAAATCCTTCGCAAGTTTCGGCCACAAACACTGACAGACAGACAAACAAAAAGTGCCTTTTATAGGTAAAAAGATCACCCGGTGCGTGATTATCCAGCTTCCAACAATATCCGGCGGTCCCAGGCCAATCCGGCGAAAACCAGTGAATCCGCTCCAAAGGCTGTAACTAGTACGGTGATCGGCACCATGTGCACGACAAAGTAACAACGCTTTATACCAGTGTCAAATATTACGTAGGGTACACTATACACTACATACAACTGAGACAATGAAAATGCTGAACTTTTCATTACTAATGACCGCAGTCATAAAACAGAAATATCGATACTCTTTGGTTATTTCATTTATCTTTTACCTACGTGACTTTACCGAAAAAACAAAGAGTATGGATCCTTGCAGTCACGAAAACTACAAATCTAGAAGAAAATATCGAGTGCGATCCGGTGAAATGCAAGGGGTTTCCAAACAAGAGCCTAGCGCTACGTACATCACCCCATGCGGAATCTTCGAGATTGGAGCAGTAAGTACGGTACAGTAAATACGGTATCTTTTTTATAAGATATATTTTTTTGTCCATTTGAATTTTTTCTTTTACGCCACACTCACGAGCAGCTTGCAGCCTCAGAATCCCAGGCTCTGATGCACGAATCGCAGCAAGGCGAGTGCTTGACAGACTCCGTACTCGGCGGTACCGTAGACGTCAAACGCCCACGGCTCACAGGTTGCAGAAATGTGGTGGCACTGGTAAAGTTCACCAATGGCGAATTCTTCCTCCTTGAAAGCCCACGGCGGAGCCTGCAGGGCACGGCCACCACACCCAGACACCGCGATGGTCAGGAGTGGCCTGAATACCACTGTACTTGTAACACTGAAACCTGTTCATACACTTCCTGCACCAGTCTGCCTGTAACACCGAAACCTGTTCATACACTCCCTGCACCAGTCTGCCTGTAACACTGAAACCTGTTCATACACTCCCTGCGTGAGTCTGCTTGTAACACTGAAACCTGTTCATACACTCCCTGCGTGAGTCTGCCTGTAACACTGAAACCTGTTCATACACTCCCTGTGTGTCTGCCTGTAACACTGAAACCTGTTCATACACTTCCTGTGTAAGTATGCCTGTAACACTGAAACCTGTTCATACACTCCCTGCGTGAGTCTGTCTGTAACACTGAAACCTGTTCATACACTCCCTGTGTGTCTGCCTGTAACACTGAAACCTGTTCATACACTTCCTGCACCAGTCTGCCTGTAACCCTGAAACCTGTTCATACACTCCCTGTGTGTCTGCCTGTAACACTGAAACCTGTTCATACACTCCCTGTGTCAGTCTGCCTGTAACACTGAAACCTGTTCATACACTCTCTGCGTCAGTCTGCCTGTAACACTGAAACCTGTTCATACACTCCCTTTGTCAGTCTGCCTGTAACACTGAAACCTGTTCATACACTTCCTGCGTCAGTCTGCCTGTAACACTGAAACCTGTTCATACACTTCCTGTGTCTGCCTGTAACACGGAAACTTGAATCAATCTTCTTGGTTCTTTCGGTAAAGTCACGTAGAAGGGAAGTAATAAAATAATAAAAATAAAACAATAAAATAATTATCACGACGTTTCGGCCACAACGCAAGCAGTTTCAGACGCTGTCTCCCCGACAGACCTGGTCTTCACCTGAGGACGGCTGCTTGCGTTGTGGCCGAAACGTCGTGAGAATTATTTTATCATGTTTAATTTTTATTATTTTATTACTTCCCTTCGACGTGACTTTACCGAAAGAACCAAGAAGAAAAACGTTGAATCAATCTACCTGAAAACTCAGCTCCAGGTCCCTCCTCTCTCTGCCTGAAGGACTTTGTAACAACCTTTGACACTCTCTCTGCCTGAAAACTAAAATATCAAAGATGATCACGCAATTTTAAAATGAATATTCACGGGTATCAAATTTCTAAATTCCACCTGCTGACATTTGGAAGACTGCAACCAGTTAACCACTACCTGGAGCCTGACCTATCATTAGCAAAAAATAACTGCCCTCAAATATCTGATAACCTTTGAAAAATAACGTAAGGCTCATTGGCTGATGCACGGCTCAGGTGTGCACACCTGCATTATACAATAACGATGTTTTAAACCTGCTCCTGTGTCCCGTGTTTCTCTCTCCTTCAAAACATTAGAAAACATTACGTGACGTGCCCATCTCGATCCGCGAATGAATATAGTTGCCATTGATTATATGTTAGTGAATCTGCTCAATGATTTGGCCGCGGAATTTTACGCAAGATCAGTAAGGGTTTTAAGTTGAAATAAAAGCGGACATCACAATATACTTGCACGCGGGCAATGATGAAATCGGACATCTTAAAACACTTTAGTAAAGGCCATAGCGAATGAACATAGCAGTATTGTCTAGTGTTAGGACAGACTTACATTAACATCTCATTAAAACGCCATTACTTTTTCTCTATAAACCGCCGGTTTTTAAGTTGAAATAAAAGCGGACATTTCCAAGATGGCGGCCCCGAGGAGACGAGGCGGAATCGATCATTTGGGTTAGAATCGATGTTCCTGTGGATCGCAATTCGCGATCCATCACGCTTCAACCACGCCCTCCCCGTGACGTCATAGTACCGTAGATGGGCAAAGACACGGCCACTACCAAGCCTCCGCCTTTATTTCACGTCCGCCTTCAGCCACGGCGTTAACCGTTCGATGTTAATGTGCCATTGTAATGAGGGACCACTGGGTGGTGTTATCTTGTTTTTGCTGCTTTGTCCAAGCTCGAAAAATCGGACTTAAATCATTAATTAATTTAACCTTATGGCGGGACCCCGGGGTTCCAAATAAACGGAAGTCTAAAATCGTTATTAGTTTCGATTTAAAGCTTTCGTGATTGCAGGGATTCATCTTCTTGGTTCTTTCAGTAAAGTCACGTAGAAGGGAAATAATCAAATAATAAAAATAAAACATAATAAAATAATTCTCACGACGTTTCGGCCACAACGCAAGCAGCCGTCCTCAGGTGAAGAACAGGTCTGTCGGAAAAACACCTGAGGACGGCTGCTTGCGTTGTGGCCGAAACGTCGTGAGAATTATTTTATTATGTTTTATTTGTATTATTTCCCTTCTACATGACTTTACCGAAAGAACCAAGAAGATCGTTATTAGTTAATTAATTTTGGCGACTCCATCCCACAGCGCACATGAACGCCGCGACCCACCAGAAATCAATCCTCTCGTTCTTCACCAAGCACCCGTCGTTGCAAAAAATTGCCGTAGTCACAAACAAATCTTTGATTAGCGTATCGTGTAGAGCTCGTCGAGAGGAATAGATTTCCGTGTTGTTCGCCTTCAACGAACATAAAATTATGTCGCAACGCAGTTTATGCGAGAGCCGGGGGCTTATGGGACCCCGGGGTCCCGCCATAAGGTTCAATTGACGACGGGTTTTTTTTTCTTTCGTGACTTGCTTACCGTTTCCTCTATTCTTGCACTCATGTTGTTCTTATGCCTTGTGTTTTGCTGTTGTAACTCGCCGACCCGCCCATACCGGGCATCTGTGAAAAATTGCTTCAAATCTCATCGGATTCTTGCAGTCAAAAACACGTCCCTTCGGAGTGGGCAGGTAGGAACTTGGTTGGACAGCGCATTCGCGCACGACAGAAAGCTCGCGGTCACGTGACGCACTTCAACCAATCTCGGAGCGTGCATGTTTGGGAGGGGCTATGCACGACAGACACATAATCCCTGGTGGGCAGTGTGGAACTGTTGTTCCAACCTGTATAAAGATTCTGAACTACCTGGCCAAAGAGCCGCAAGGGGGCAGACAAAGAACCCTAAGTGGGCAGCCAAAGGGCCCCTAGGGGGCAGCCAAAAAGCCGCTGAATGTGGCTCCGGAACCGCACGATGCCGACGTCTGATCTAACCCAACAGCAGCTTTCACGTGTCGACTGAGTCTCAAATGAGCACCTACGAAGGCCGCTACGGCACTGCACCTATGGGGGGGGGGGGTGTCGCCAACAGCGTGCCCGGCCGCCTTTGTCTCCCCAGTGCTGATGTTTTTTTTGTTACCGCAACAGGGATTTATTTTAAACTGTTGTCAACCTAGGAGAGGGGCCCCAGGAGTGGTTCAGATAATCGCTGTGAGTGGTGGTGGTGGTGGTGGCGGCCGTGAGCGGGATTCAAACTCGGGTCTCTTTAGGGTTCGTAGCGCAGCGCGGCTCTAACCGCTGCGCTTCCGCTCCCCATAATGTACGTTATACTTCTTTCGCGTTGTACGGGCTATTTGGAGGTACGGGAAAGGATTCAAACTAAACACAACAACAAGCAGCTCTAAAGAAACGGATTCGTCAATCTAGATTATGATTTCAAAGTGCATCGTAGCTCCCAGTGGCTTCCTAATATCGGAAGGAAGAGCGTTCCAGACGGCTGCAGAAGCGCATCTGAAAGCGCCGCACGATGATGCAGTGACCACCGTCTTTGTTCGACGGCCAGCCAAAAGTGTAGTGTATAGTGCGGTGTAAAGCGGTGTATAGTGTAGGGTATAGTAGTGTATCGTGTAGTGTATAGTGCGGTGTAAAGCAGTGTATAATGTAGGGTATAGTAGTGTATCGTGTAGTGTATAGTGTACAGTGTAGTGTACGGTGTAGTGTATAGTGCGGTGTAAAGCGGTGTATAGTGTAGGGTATAGTAGTGTATCGTGAAGTGTATAGTAGTGTACAGTGTAGTGTATAGTGTGGTGCATTGTATTGTGTAAAGTGTAGTGTATAGTGTAGTGTATAGTGTAGTGTATTGTATAGTGTAGTGTATAGTGTAATGTATACAGCATCTGAAAGCGCGTGGTTGAACCAAAAGCCGCGGCTGCTGCTGCGAGGATGATGAGCGGAGTTAGCGAGACGATGGTTTATCCTACACAGCAGCGATGGACAGGGGCGTGCACGTGGGACACAGCACTCCATGTGCAGCATCGAATGCTTCATTTGCGTTGAACGGCAAAAACAACGACGACACAACTTCCAATCGAAGTCTTTATTTCTGTTAAAGAGCACACGGTGAGCGATGGCGTAACGAAAGTGTACGTAACATACATATGATTTATTTTATTTATATCCCCGTGACTTTACCGAAAGAACCAAAGAGTATACAGTATATAAACCATTTCAAAAGGAGAAAAGTGCAAATTAATGTTAAATAATATCACAGTGTGTATCCTGATTATGCATTGTCTTCGGTCGTGACTGGGGCACAAGTCCATCGATAGGACCATTAAAATAGTTCCATATATACGGTGGGGGTGGGGGGGGTAATCCGAACATGAGTATATGCAAAAATAAAGTTGATTATTTATAATTTATATTGTTGTTATGAGATACGGGTGTAGATTTGATACGCGTGTACGCCGTTAGACTCGTTTTACGCTTTAGTTTGTTGTGAATGTTGAGTGTGTTATTTTTCATTTGTCTGGTCCAGGAGGTAATACCCCCATTTCGGATGTGATGACGAGTCGACAACGATGGAGAAATAACAAAAGGTTGTATTTAACCTTTCTGGCCATAATAACACAGGAGTTGTGTTAAGATGTTCAAACACCGAATAGATTCTGCCTTTTGCAAGGCATCATCAAGTCTGCAATAACCACACATTTGCGGGAAAAACATGCAAACACACATGCTCCGATAATGAGAAGAGGTTTTCCCATTTGTTCTGGCAACAAAACAGCTGTGTTGAGTTGTTAAAACACCAAACTTAAACCTTTCTCAAGGAATCGTGTCTGCATTAACGACAATACTTGTGGTCAGAATGGAAACAAAAAACACATTGATCGTATGATGCATTGTCCTTGAAACCGATTGGCCTATACCAGAGACAGCAGACATCTTTATGGCCTAGTCTCACTAGCAGTGTCAGTCGACCATCGATAGTCACGACGAGTCCTCCGGTTCACTCCATCTCGATTTTGTTTCTTGATCTCAGGGCAGTGGGGTTTACTGCTGTTGCTGCTGCTGCTGGTCAGCGGTTAAAGTCGTACAGCTACCAAACCGAGGGACCTTGAAGGACTTGCACACACCGCATTGCATTGTTGTTGATATTGTTGATGATGATGCCGTGCCACATCAATCAATGCCGACAAGTGGTAACAATGCCCGCTAGGTAGCCGCCTGGGCGAAAAATCGAACCCTGCCGAGAGACTCATAGATAGGAGTCGCCAATGCGCCTCTCTTATACGCAGCGATTAAGAGGTTGTGTATATATATATTATTAAGTAATATATTAATATTATGTTATCTCATTGTACTATAGAATTGTGTGTGGTTTTAGTTTTGAGTATCGATGTGATGATGATGGCGCTTTGTGTGGTAGATTTGTGTTGTTGTTTTTTTATGCCTTGCCCAATCTCGATAAATCGGACTTATATATAATTGAGTTATTGATATTTACTGACTCGCTTACCGTGTTATCTATGTTGCACTCCTATCGCGGCGTGCTCCCTCACATGTGTTGTGTTTGTTGTGTTTTTTGGAACTCGATGGCCTCTGTGCCCCATACTGGGGCATCTGTGGACAAATCAAGAGCTTCCTAGCTCATCGGATTCCTCCTAACTCCTGCATTTTAAAATCAACATTCTGAGATTTGTACCAGACGGCCGCCACGGAGAGTGTGAATAAAAAATCAACGTTGATACTCTTTGGTTCTTTCGGTAAAGTCACGTAGTTATACATAAAATATACTACGTGACTTTACCGAAAGAACCAAAGAGTATGGATTCCTGCAGTCACGAAAGCTTCAAATCAAGATCAACGTTGACTTCAACCCGCTGGGTCCGAACGGTCTCATGCATACCTCGTACGCGGTGTTAAGAGTTTCGCAGTGACATCCGCAGCCACTAGGGGCCGCTACAGCCACACCAGTAACAATGGAATCTATTGTTATAGTTCCCACGTGATGGTGATGATGATGATAAGCCGCCAACTCAGTTGAGCTGCTATCGTTTGTGATGGCCAGAAGCGACAGAGCGGCTCAGTGGGGCCTTAGCTGGTAAAAAAAATAGTTTATAGATGAATGGTCAGGGAGTGAGTTCAACAGGTAACTGGATAGTCAAGTAGTCGGGTAACTCAATAGCTACGTACCAGAGTAACTAGTTAGTAAGGTAGTTGGGTAACTGTGTAACGAAACAACCAGGTAACAAGATGACCAATTAATATGATAGCCGGGTAAACAGGTCAACAAAATAGCCAGGTAACCACATAACGAGATAATCCAGTAATCAGTGAACCAGCCAAACGTGTGAATGGCTAGGATAGGTGACCAGAAATCCATGTTCTTACGCAGAAGACCAGGTTAATGCGCAGTTTACCAATCATCAGGCTAGGGTGACTGTGCAGGCGCATACGAGGGGGGGGGGGGTGACCAGCACCACGCCCCGCTGCCTTTTGTCTCCCCACTGGCGTTGTTTACTACACACCAATCCACCAGGTACTCATTTGAGGCTGAGTCGACCTAGGCGGGGTACGGCTGTAGGTACCGCGACTGATGCGCGGTCAGGTGATGACGACGACGACGGGTAGGTGGGCAGGTGAGTAGGTAGGTAGGCAGGTGGGCAGTTGAGTTGGTGGGCAGGTCACGTGTCGCACGTGGGTCACGTATCGCACGTGGGTCACGTGGGTCTCGTGTCGCACGTGGGTCACGTGGGTCACGGCCCTCGCCGTGGTGACGATGAGACGGCCAGAGACAGAGAGGGAGAGGCTGCGAAGAGAACGGGAGTTCACGTTACTAACGCGCGTGTGTGTGTACGTGTGTGTGTACGTCTGTGTGTGTACGTGTTTGTGTACGTGTGTGTGTGTAAGTGTGTGTACGTGTGTGTGTGTAAGTGTGTGTGTGTACGTGTGTGTGTACGTGTGTGTGTGTGTACGTGTGTGTGTGTGTACGTGTGTGTGTACGTGTGTGTGTATGTGTGTACTGTGTACGTGTGTGTGTACGTGTGTGTGTGTACGTGTGTGTGTGTGTACTGTGTGTGTACGTGTGTGTGTGTGTACTGTGTGTATACGTGTGTGTGTGTACGTGTGTGTGTGTGTACGTGTGTGTGTACGTGTGTGTACGGGAGCGGTAGTGTAGCGTTGAGCGCTACAAACCCGGCGACCCAAGTTCGATTCCCGCTCACGGCCAACACCGGTGACGATTATCTGAACCGGTCCTGGGCCTCCCCTAGATCGACTCAGCCTCAAATGAGTACCTGGTGCGATGTGTAAACTCATCGCCACAAGGAAGGCAAAGGCGGCTGGGCGTGGTACTGGCCACCCACCCCCTCGTGTGCCGTGCCGGCCTTCATAGGTGCTCGCTAACAGCACTTGCCCCGACAGTCTGTTACAGGCTATACGGGGGATCGTTGTCTCTGTGTGTAGCCTGTAACAGAGAGTTGGGGCAAGTGCAAAGACAAAGATGCCCCGTATAGCCTGCAACAGGCAGTTGGGGCAAGTGCAAAGACAAAGATGCCCCGTATAGCCTGCAACAGACAGTTGGGGCAAGTGCAAAGACAAAGATCCCCCGTATAGCCTGTAACAGGCAATTGGGGCAAGTGCAAAGACAAAGATGCCCCGTATAGCCAGCAACAGGCAGTTGGGGCAAGTGCAAAGACAAAGATGCCCCGTATAGCCTGCAACATGCAGTTGGGGCAAGTGCAAAAACAAAGATGCCCCGTATAGCCTCAGACGGAAAGTTGGGGCAAGTGCTCCCGCACAGACACCAGACACGCGTGCTCACCCGTGGAGGGGTTGACGGCTCATCAAGCGATGGGGACTTTGTACGCCACTGCAGGGCGCCGCCTCCTGAGGTAGTGGCCCCGCATGAGGCCTCCTGTTCGGGGGTCGCCACCGTCTGGCCTGGGTCCGTGGGGCCGGCGGACCAGGCGGCCTTGCATGGGCCTGGGCTTAGGGGCAGCTGTGGAGAGGGACGAGGGGGGGAGGGGTGGTGGGGTGGAGAGATATTCGCGGGGTGACGCCACATGATTTTTTTCTGTTGCGTGTAGTCACTTTAAGATGATTCTTGTTCATGTTTTTGTTTTGTTGCGGTTGCACCCGAGTCAAGAGCCGCATGGCTCACAGGGTTATACCTGCTAATACATGAAATGAAACTGAAACGGTGGTTCAGGAGATATTCGCTACCTCGCCCTGGCCTGGCTCTGCCCGGCCCTTCCCACACTCATCCGCGGTGCCCACCGCCACCTGTTATGTGATGTGATGGATGGGGGCACGTGTGTATGTTGGACTTTAGCATCGTGGTATAGTGTATAGTAGTGTAGTGTATAGTGTAGCGCATAGTAGTGTCGTGTATAGTGGAGTGTATAGTAGTGTAGTGTATACTAGTGTAGTGTATAGTGTAGTGCATAGCGTAGTGCATAGTTGTGTAGTGTATAGTAGTGTCGTGTATAGTGTAGTGTATAGTGTAGTGCATAGTAGTGTAGTGTATAGTGGTGTAGTGTATAGCAGTGTATAGTGCAGTGTATAGCAGTGTCGTGTATAGTGGTGTAGTGTATAGCAGTGTATAGTAGTGTCGTGTATAGTGTAGTGTATACTGTAGTACATAGTAGTGTAGTGTATATTGTAGTGTATAGTAGTGTAGTATGTGCCTGGATGTTGAACTTCTCTCGACCCATACGTAACCAACCGCACTAATCGGAGGTGCAGGTGAAGGGCAAAAAACTAAACACAACAACAACAAGAAGCAGCTCTAAATTAATGCGTTTTCAATCTAGATTCAAAAGTGGCTTCCTCATATATGTACAGAGACAGTGGTTCTTCAAAACCTGGGGTGCATCACGCACGCCCTGGGGGTGAGAGACACGGACAGCTTTGTAAATCGTCGACAGCACAAATTAAGCACGGGGCGACGTCGCTAACAACCCTCCGTTGTCTTATCAACCCCCTCCACGCGTTTGTTCGCATTGCTTCGTGAACACTGCAGTCAAGGCTAAGAACCACTGCTCCAGAGGATTTATACACGCGGAGGACCGCAGATCTCGGGCAACTGCGAGCAGCGCCGACCCGTCGTCACAGCTCCGCCAGGCTGCTTCGGACTGTCCCTTCCCCACTCATCTGCGGTTCGTCCGGTTTCCCTTCCCCCCCCCCTCCACGTTTAGAGACGCGCATTTAGATTGATGTGGGATTCCGAGGATTATTTCGCTGCTGTCAATGTTCACGTGATGACGATTACGACGGTAATGAGTCTCTTCGTTGAGCTGCTATCAATTGTGCAGACACAGTGGCTGTGAGATTTTGACTACCTTGCCTGGTGTACAGGAGGTCGTGGGTTCGATCTCGACCCTGACGCCTGCTGCTGTAGATTTGGAGTTTGCGTCTCTCTCTCTCTGTCATCATCATCACGGTGGCTAGGAGATGTTGACTACCTCGCCTGGTGTACAGGAGGTCGTGGGTTCGATCTCGACACTGACGATGCCTGCTGCTGTAGATTTGGAGTTTGCGTCTCTCTCTCTGTCATCATCATCACGGTGGCTAGGAGATGTTGACTACCTCGCCTGGTGTACAGCAGGTCGTGGGTTCGATCTCGACACTGACGATGCCTGCTGCTGTAGATTTGGAGTTTGCGTCTCTCTTTCTCTATCATCATCATCATCACAGTGGCTGTGAGATGTTGACTACCTCGCCTGGTGTACAGGAGGGTCGTGGGTTCGATCTCGACCCTGGCGCTTGCTGCTGTAGATTTGGAGTTTGCGTCCCTGTCTCTCTCTGCCATCATCATCACAGTGGCTAGGATATGTTAACTTCCTCTGGTAACAATGAATACATTTTTAAAAAAGATAATAGTCTTGTTTTAGTTTACGGAGCACCCCCCGTGTGTGCACTTACCACACGTCTCGTGGAACAGAGCCAGGCACAGCACGGCGAGCAGGAGGGTCGCCTTGACGTTCATCGTCGTCTTGGGAAGGAGAAGTCTCGGCTGGAGAGAGAGGAGCAGAGAGCGCAGGGCTAGAGAGAGATGGAGCGAGAGAGACGGAGCGAGAGAGATGGAGAGAGAGAGAGAGAGTGCAGAGATCGAGAGAGACTTTTGAGGGAGTGACTTGAGCTACAAGTGGGGTTCTGGTGGGAGATTTCCCCTCGTTTTATAGCCCTCGCCGTGACATCCTCTGCCCCCCCTCCCCCTCCACCCATCCCGGTCGAGTCTCAACAGCGGCACGAGAGGAGGTGGAGGAGGAGGAGGGGGAGGAGGAGGCATCTCGTTTGGTTTCCCAGCACACCCGGGGTCTCAACAGAAAGTCCCCTCCCGTGTGTATCTGCGGCTTCCTTCCCAGGAAAAAGGAAGAAAAATGAAATTCTCGTGAAAGCGGCGACTTTTGGGTGTGGGGGTGGCAAGGAGGGAGGGGAGGGGGAGAAGAGGGGGGGAGTGGTGGCGCAGCGGTTAGCGCAGCGCTGCGCAAACCCGTCAGAGACCCGAGTTCGATTCCTGATCGCGGCCACCGGCACCAATGAATGACGATTGTATCGGAACCGGTCCTGGGCCTCTCCCCTAGGTCGACTCAGCCTTGGATAAAAAAAAGTGCCTGGTGCGGTGTGTAGTAAACGTCGCCACTGGGGGAGACAAAGGCGGACGGGGCGTGGTGCTGGCCACCCACTCCCTCGTGTGCCACAGCGCCGGTAGCCTTCATAGGCGCTGCTACTCGCTAACAGCACTTGTCCCAACAGTCTACTAGAGGCTACATCGGGGATCTTTGTCTTTGTGTGTTCATAGGCACTGCTGCTACTCGCAAACAGCACTTGCCACTGCAGTCTACTAGAGGCTACACGGGGGACCTTTGTCTTTGTGTGTTCATAGGCGCTGCTGTGGTGCTACTCGCTAACAGCACTTGCCCCAACAGTCTGTTACAGGCTACACGGGGGATCTTTGTCTTTGTGTGTTCACAGGCGCTGCTACTCGCTAACAGCACTTGCCCCTGCAGTCTACTAGAGGCTACACGGGGGATCTTTGTCTTTGTGTGTTCATAGGCGTTGCTGCTGATGCTACTCGCTAACAGCACTTGCCCCAACAGTCTGTTACAGGCTACACGGGGGACCTTTGTATTTGTGTGTTAGTAGGCGCTGCTGATGCTACTCGCTAACAGCACTTGCCCCAACAGTCTGTTACAGGCTACACGGGGGATCTTTGTCTTTGTGTGTTCACAGGCGCTGCTACTCGCTAACAGCACTTGCCCCAACAGTCTCTCGCAGGCTACACAGGGGATCTTTGTCTTTGGGGGAAAACAGCAGCACCTCAGGCAGACGACGGCGGAGGCTGCGTTGCTCGAGGTCACAGAGCCCTCGTGCCCAGCTTCTGTTTGGCTGCGTAGCTCAAGGGCGCCGCGGTGGCTAGGAGATGTTGACTACCTCGCCTGGTGTGCAGGAGGTCGTGGGTTCGATCCCCACCCTGACGATGCCTGCTGCTGTATATTTGGAGTCTGCGTCTCTCTCTCATCATCGTCACCACGGTGGCTAGGAGATGTTAACTACCTCGACTGGTCTACAGGAGGTCGTGGGTTCGATCCCGACCCTGACGATGCCTGCTGCTGTATATTTGGAGTCTGCGTGTCTCTCTCATCATCATCATCACAGTGGCTAGGAGATGTTAACTACCTCGCCTGATCGACAGGAGGTCGTGGGTTCGATCCCGACCCTGACGATGCCTGCTGCTGTAGATTTGGAGTTTGCGTCTCTCTCTCATCATCGTCATCACGGTGGCTAGGAGATGTTGACTAACTCGCCTGGTCTACAGCAGGTCATGGGTTCGATCCCGACCCTGACGATGCCTGCTGCTGCTGTTTATTTGGAGTCTGCGTCTCTCTCATCATCATCACGGTGGCTAGGAGATGTTAACTACCTCGCCTGGTCGACAGGAGGTCGTGGGTTCGATCCCGACCCTGACGATGCCTGCTGCTGTAGATTTACACACGATGATGATGATGAGCTCCGGCTCGCTTATCGGCACTTTCCCCAACAGCGCCGGCTCACTTACCGGCACTTGCCCCAACATCCCCATTGAAGGCTTCCCCCAGGGGGGAGGGGGGGGGGCTTTGTCTTTGTGATGATGGATTGGGGGGGGAGAGTTGCCAGAGGAAGTGCCGCGAAACGCGAGCGTTTCTGCTAAACGTCGTTGAAGGTTCACTTGTTGATACGAACGCGGTTTCAGAGTGAGCGCGGCTCGCTTCCCGCTCGGGGCGTAGCCAGAAGCGCCGGCGTTTGGCACGCTCGGCCACGCAGATGTCTGTTTGTCTGCCACATTTTTGGTGTTTCTCGGTACAAGCAGCTTACACCGCGTGCCGGGGAATAGCGACGGTCCGCGCGCTGTGTGCGTGTGAGCGAGTGCCTGGTGCGGTGTATCGTCGTACAGGATGCCCCCTTTATTTGCAATGAGACTGTCTGAGTGAGTGGAGTTTGGATGATCGCCCCCTGTTCTACAGAGAGAGTGAGTGGAGTTTGTATGATCTCCCTCCGTTCTACAGAGTGAGAGTGAGTGGAGTTTGTATGATCTCCTCCTGCCCTACAGAGTGAGAGTGAGTGGAGTTTGTATGATCTCCCTCTGTTCTACAGAGTGAGAGTGAGTGGAGTTTGTATGATCTCCCTCTGTTCTACAGAGTGAGAGTGAGTGGAGTTTGTATGATCTCCCCCTATTCTGCATGGTGTTTCCTCTGGGTTCCCCGGTGTCCTCCCCCAGCTAAAACAAACCCAACACACAGTGTAGCCGGTGTCGGCCAAAAACAGCATCCCATTGTTGATCAAAAACCCCCCTGCGAATCACTCAACTGCAGCAGCAGCAACATCGGCAGGATAAGAGGCCGGAGCCACTATGGGTTTCCCTGGGTAAACAGGAAGATGCACAAACACGAAGACACACACACAGACACACATCACACCAGGTACTCATTTGAGGCTGATTTGACCTAGGGGAGGCTCAGGACCGGTTCAGATAATCGTAAGCGGTGTTGGCCGTGAGCGGGAATCGCACTCGGGTCGCCAAGTTCGTAGCGCTAACCGCTACACTACCGCTCCCCACAACACAGACACACACACAGACAAACACACAACAACAACCGCCATTCACCACTAAGTGGCGGTGACGTCACCACGGCGCTTGTGCCAGGCTAGGTGCACCTTGAGGTGACGCGAAGTGTCGAAGGCTCGCTGGTCACGGAACAGACCCAGCAGGTGCCACGGGTCGACTCACTGAGATGAGTGGCCGATGCACCACCACCTGTGCCCCCCCCCTACTGTGCCAACTCGCTGTGCTTTACACATACATACACACAGACAGACACACAGACAGACAGACACACAGACAGACAGACACAACAAAGATCCCCCGTATAGCCTTAACAGACCGTTGGGGCAAGTGCTGTTAGCGAGCACCTATGAAGGCCGGCACGGCACACGAGGGGATGGGTGGCCAGCACCACGTCCGAACGCTTTTGCCTCCCAAGTGGCGATGTTTACTACACACCGCACCAGGTACTCATTTCAGACTGAGTAGACCTAGGGGAGGCCCAGGACCTGTTCAGATAATCGTCACCGGTGTTGGCCGTGAGCGGGAATCGAACACGGGTCGCTAGGTTCGTAGCGCAGCGCGCTAACCACTACACAAAGACAAAGATCCCCGTATAGCCTTAACAGACTGTAGGGGCAAGTGCTGTTAGCGAGCACCTATGAAGGCCGGCACGGCACACGAGGGGGTGGGTGGCCAGCACCACGCCCGGCCGCCTTTGTCTCCCAAGTGGCGATGTTTACTACACACCGCTACACCAGGTACTCATTTCAGGCTGAGTCGACCTAGGGGAGGCCCAGGACCTGTTCAGATAATCGTCACTGGTGTTGGCCGTGAGCGGGAATCGAACCCGGGTCGCCAGGTCTGTAGCGCAGCGCGCTAACCACTACACACACACATAGACACACACATAGTCACACATACACACACCCAGACACGCACACAACTGGCTAATCATTTATTTGCAGAGATTCAGTTTCTAAATCCGTCACTTCCCCATCACATCTAAAGACTCTCTCTCTCCACACCCACGCGCTCTCCACACCCACGCTGTCCCCACGCTGTCCCACCCCCACGGGAATCCCCTCCAACCCGCCTCCTCTCCGTTACCAAGAATTGGCCAAATCTCTCGCCCGCTGGCAGCTTAACACCAAAGAAAAAAGATCCCCCACGTATAGCCTCGACAGACCATTGGGGCAAGTGAAGCGCCACGGTGGCTAGGAGATGTTGACGACCTCGCCTGGTGTGCAGGAGGTCGTGGGTTCGATCTCGACCATGACGATGCCTCCCGCTGTAGATTTGGAGTTTGCGTCTCTATCTCATCATCATCATCATCACGGGGGCTAGGAGATGTTAACTACCTCGCCTGTAAGCAGGAGGTCATGGGTTCGATCTCGACCCTGACGATGCCTGCTGCTGCACACCAGGCGAGGTAGTTAACACCACCGCCGCTGCTGCCGATGATGATGACTGCGGTGATGCAACCCATGTCGTTTTCGTGACTTCTTCTCAACGCTGACGAAATCCTGGACGCGAGAGATTCCCACGCTGGGATGGGTGTGGAGTGGGGAAGGGAGCGGTGGTGTAGTGGTTAGCGCACTGTGTGTGTGGGGAGCGGTGGTGCAGTGGTTAGCGCTCTGTGTGTGTGTGGGGGGAGTGGTGGTGCAGTGGTTAGCGCACTGTGTGTGTGTGTGGGGAGCGGTGGTGTAGTGGTTAGCGCTACGAACCCGGCGACCCGAGTTCGATTCCCGCTCACGGCCAACACCGCCGGTGACGATTATCTGAACCGGTCCTGGGCCTCCCCTAGGTCGACTCAGCCCCAAATGAGTACCTCGTGTAGCGGTGTGTAGTAAACATCGCCACTTGGGAGACAAAGGCGGCCGGGCGTGGACCGCGTGGTGCTGGCCACCCACCCCTGGTGTGCCGTCAGGCCTTCATAGGTGCCCGCTAACAGCACTTGCCCCTACAGTCTCTTACAGGCTACACGGGGGACCTTTATCTTTGTGTGTTCACAGGCGCTGCTGCTACTCGCTAACAGCACTTGCCCCAACAATTTGCGAGAGGCTACACGGGGGACCTTTGACTTTGTGTGTTCATAGGCGCTGCTGCTACTCGCTAATAGCACTTGCCCCTACAGTCTCTTACAGGCTACACGGGGGACCTTTGTCTTTGTGTGTTCACAGGCGCTGCTGCTACTCGCTAACAGCACTTGCCCCAACAGTCTGCTAGAGGCTACACGGGGGACCTTTGTGTTTGGCGGTGGCGTCTTTCTCGGTATTGTGGCTATCCGTGATCATATTCGCACTTATTTAACCTGTTCCAGGCTATTGGGGGAGGTGGTGGGGATTTTTCATCTTCACATCGAGGCAGAAGAGGAAGTTGACCACTCGTGTTGTTGTTCTCGGAAGGGGACAATGCACCCAAGGGGGGTGGGGGGGGGCCGCCACTACCTATTCCGATAGCTACGGATGTGTTTGTGCAACGTCCATAAATGACGTCACGCACCTCAGAAACGTGAATACAGCGCCACATTAAATAAGCACTACATTAAAATCGCGTGACGTCATTTATGGACGGCCCCTAAGAAGTTAAAACCACCAAACTGAAACCTTTTGCAAGGAATCAATGTCACTGCATTCACCACATATACTTGTTGTGAACATGCAAACAAAAAAAACCACCACGCTCTGGTAGTAAATTAACCCTATGGTTCTCGCATAAACATTATAATGTAAAACAAAAACTTTACTGTTTTTCACCAATGGGTTTTAAGGACGGTGGCAAGTGTTGTCTTGTTAAACTTTGCCTTTAAAACTGAAAACTGCTTAAGGGCCGTCCATAAATGACGTCACGCACCTGGGGGGGTGGGGGGGGTTAGACATTTGTGAAGATGTGTGACGAGAGATGGGGGGGGGGGGGGTTGAGAAATGTGACGTCGCATCAAAATGCGCAACTTTAAATAAATATAGACAACACGTTCTGCTTAATTAAATAGACTTTTTAATAAATGTTTTCTCCGACAACATCAGAGTGCAGCGCCACATTAAATACGCACTACAATGACAATAGTTTAAAACGATTTGAAGCATGTTTTATATATTTGGGGGGGGGGCAGAGCTTTGTGACGTCATATTTGAGGGGGGGGGGGTCTGACTTTTTGTGACGCCGTGTGACGAGGGGGGGGGGGGCAAAAATCGTCCAAAATCGCGTGACGTCATTTATGGACGGCCCCTAACCACGTTTCTTTCAATATTATGCGTTTATAATGTTGTTAGTATCGTTATGTATTAATATCCATTGTTTAAATTAATTCAGCCTTTGTCTATTTCTTATACTCGCTTTATGACCAAATCACTTAACGACCGGTGTTCATGTCACCATTCGCATACCTGTCAACCCCTGAAAGTGCCCCACCTTATTACAGACCAATTCAGACCTCATTGGTCATCCCGTGCCCCTTATGAATCTCAACATTCATCCTACAAAGTCCCATCGCAAGGAGAGAAACCAAAAATATGTATGACGTTCCCATATGCTACAGAATACACAATTGTACAAGGGACTTGCTACAAGTGTAAAGAAGCTCCTTGGAGACGTCCATTTAAAAAAGGTGAATTCTTTATGTCTTAAAGAATAACGTCTACACAGCTTCGCGAACAGTCAGCCCCCAAGTCTTACACTTCATCACTCCGCAAAGAGTCAGCCCCCAAGTTTTCCACTTCGTCACGCCCAGACTACCAGTCCTCACTCCCCTTCTATGCCCTCTCGGTCTGCCCCTATTGGACACTTTTGGCACGTGTCTCTTCTCAATTATAATGCTATATTTGATCACGTTCGCTTTACAGTTTCACTCCACAGGTGGGACGACACTGGCCATCTTGGCTGTATCTTGCCGCTTTAAAAACATTGCCCACCGATGCTGAACGTCTTGTTTGCGAACAGCCGTGCTTAGTTGGAGGTGCGGTGGGGGATGGGGAGAACAACAAACTAAACACAACAACAACAACAAGCAGTTCTAAAGAAATTAGTTCGTCATTCGAGACGATTTTAAAAGTGCAGCATTGCTTACCAAGTGGCTTCCTTAACGTCGTTGTCGTGATGTGCGTTTGTCTTCCCATGTGGTCAGAAATCGCAAATGGGGGCTAAGACTTCGTCAGAGGAAGAAAAGCCCAAAGAATCATCGCCGAGGAAGGCCGAGTACAAGGGCAAGACGGTCGATGCTATTCTGGCCGGGATGTCCACAAGTGTCACGACTGCCATAGAGATCACCAACCTATCGACCTACACACTTGAAAATCCGACGTGAGTACCGGCATTGTGCGTATGTATGTTGAACTTCTTTCACACCGTACGTAGCCAACCATGCTAATCTGTGGATCTCTATGGGTGTCTCTGTAAGTCTCTGTGGGTGTCTGTGGGTCTCTGGGTGTCTGTGGGTGTCTGTGGGTCTATGTGCATGTATGTTGAACTTCTTTCGCACCGTACGTAGCCAACCGTTGTAATATGAGGTGCGGGGGAAGGACAAACTAAACATGAAAATCGTTCACGTGGATCTGGACAATGCGCGTGCTGTCTGTGTCTTTGTCTCAAACACAAGTCAAAGGTCCCCCGTGTAACCTTAACGGACTGTTGGGGCAAGTGATGTTAGCGAGCACCTTTGAAGGCTTGACTGGGATGTCACAATTGTCTGATGGCTTGACTGGGATGTCACAAGTGTCTATTGGCTTGACTGGGATGTCACAGGTGATGACCTGACCGCATTGAGGAAGTTGGTCTACAAGGGAAATCCCAACACAGTTTCACCTTTCAAATGCCATTGATGAAAATTGTTCAGTTTTAGTTCATTTATTTTAGTCATTTGTTTACCTTTCCTATACTTTGCACTCCTATCGTGTTTGTGTTTTCTTTGTTGTAACGTCCTGACCCCGTGCCCCCAACTGCACATCTGTGATGAAAAAAAGCGTTTCATAGCTCATCGGATTTCTCCAGAATGAACAAAGATTCTGATTCTGAATCACACATAATACGACCGGCCTCTTTCTCCCTCCAGCTTCGCGTTAAACTTAGGCGTGGTGGAATACGCCCCGCACGCAGAAATCAAACCCGGGGAAAAGCGCGGCTGCGGATTCCATAAGTACTGGTTCGGCATCCAGGGCTGCCTCGGAGTGCTGCGCTACGCCATCCGGGACACCGAAATGTGCCTGGACATCTTCTTCAGTTGCCCGTACGCAGGTTTCATTTACGACAGAACGGTCGGCATTCAGCTGGAGAACATGGGCAACGTCTACGTCGGAGCGTCGCGTCGGCTCCTGAAGGAGATCGACAACTGCCAAAGTTTGATCAAAAATTTCAACAAAAAGAAGGCAACGGATGCCGTTGCCAAAGTGAGAAACGACGCGATGAATCTCGAGGTGACGGCCACCATGCTCGATGAGTGGAAGTCTATCATCCACGTGCAGCTCACGGCCGTTGATGTTTAGTCGCGCTGACGCGTCGACGAGTGTGGCGAGATGTTAACTGCCTCGCCTGGTATACAGGAGGTCGTGGGTTCGATCCTGACCCTGACGCCTGCTGTATATTTGGAGTTTGCGTCTCTCTCCTCGTGGTCACGTGGATTTTACTCCGGGTCCTCCGCTTTTTCCCCTCCACATTTATAATCAAGATCACACATTTAGAGTAATTTGGCTGCTATGCATTTACACGTCATAAGCCACTTGGTGGGCTATCATTTGTGATAGCCACTTCGCTTCTTAAAAATAGTTACATAGCAGCTCAGTGGGGCCTTACATGTGTAATAACAGCCATAGAGGGTTCACGTGAGGATTGGCTTGCCGGTCCTGCTGGTAGCCAATAAGGGTTGAGATAGGGACCATGACCCAGGCGTGATCACGACAGGTCATCAAGAGTGATTAGCCTAGCCATTCGGGGCCCCAGCTAATGGGGAGCCGGATGAGGGGCGTGGTCCCGGGATTGACAGGGAACCATCGAGAATGGTCGAAGCTGTCCATGAACGATTGGCTGGGGGGACCACGTGATGAAGGTATTAAAGGAGAGGGAGAGAGAACGATCGCGAGCAGACTGAAACTGACAAGAGCAGGGTCACGCACGGACGGGGGCTCTGGGTGCCACGTGCGCGGTGGGGACTTCGTGCGTAGTCTGTCCTCTCTCCGTTGTCTGCCAGCAACGGAGAGTGAGTGAGCAAAGTGTATTGTGGAGTGGAAATAAAAGGACTGATTCCGAAGCCGTCTCAAGAAGGATTATTACACATGGTGTAAAAAACAGTTTATAGCTTTATAGAGTGGGAAACCAGTGGGCATTGCATGGAGATGCTGAGAGAGGGCGGACAACTAAAGCCTGTTGTATATACAGTAAAACCTTGGATTGCGAGCATAATTCGTTCCGGAAACGTGCTCGTAATCCAAAGCACTCACATATCAAAGCGAATTTCCCCATAAGAAATCATGGAAACTCAGATGATTCGTTCCACAACCCAAAAATACTGTATTGATATAACATTATTAATACAAAATACCTTTTTTATTTTTATTATTTAAATTTAATATCAAGTAATCAAATGTATTAATTACAGAGGAGAGGAGGGGGAGGGTTATTGTGTAGGACAACTTTCACTTGCAGTTCAGTTACTAAAGAACAGTCACTACACTTGGACACAAAATAAAAAAATGCTTTACGCACACACGTGTGCGTAATCCCGCAGCGAGAGAGAGAGAGAAGAACCATTGGCTCAGTTGTGATCACGTGACGCTCGGCAGACAAAGCATATACGTACTACTCGTATTGCAAGACCTCGCTCGTTTATCAAATTAATATTCTTAGGTTTTTTCGGTAAAGTCACGTAGGTAAAAAACATTTTAATTAATAAAAGTTGAGCTGTGACGGTTCCACCTGAAGACGGAAGCTTGTGTTGCCTCCGAAACGTCGTGATTTTATTTTATTTTACTTTTATTAATTTTATTTTTTTACCTACGTGACTTTACCGAAAAAACCTAAGAATATGAATCCTTGCAGTCACGAAAGCTTCAAATCTAGAATTAATATCAAATTAATATATATTTTTTTAATTCGTCTTGCAAAACACTTGCAAACCAAGTTACTCGCAATCCAGGTTTTACTGTATGACTTTTCCAATAACATTAAGAGTGATATTGCCTTTTTATGTAATAGATGTTCTTATATATATGGATTCAGCGAGTGACGCATACCTGCGAACTCCTCCCCCGAGACTTTTGCCATTGGGCACATGTTTCTTGAGCATGGTTTCCGTATGAATATTGTAATTTTTAAGCACTTTTCCCATCGTCGCGTATGGTCGAGCTACTCAGACGAGTTAGCCTATTGTTGTATTGCCCAGTTTTAACAACATAACCAGAGGGTTAATTGTACGGAAGTGCAACTTCTCGACCTGGGATGTAGGGAGACGTCTGGAATGTTAAGCGGTGTGTGTAGGTGGGTGTTAGACTTTCGCTTTTCGCCCTATTGCCGCCTGTGGGGTGGAACGGTAGCAGAGCGTTAACACGATGAGACCTCCTTTACCAGTGGCAAAATATAGTAATAGGTTTTTACCCTTTCAACTGGTACAAAACTGACACCTTTATACAAGGGAACATGTTTGCAATAACCACAACACAAGCAGTCAAAATGCAAACAAAAATACACAACTCTGATAATGATATGCACTGTCCTTGAAGTTGATTGGTCCACACCCGAGACAGCTTTTCTTAGAGCCTAGTCTCCATTGGTGTTGGACCAGACTAGGCGACAAGTGCTGCATCTGCACCCATTCCATTCTCGCGGTCCTACGGCCTCCGACGGGTAGCTCGTATCTGCATGCAGCATCTCTCACTTCAGAGGCCACTCGACCTCTCCCGATGCAACACCTCCAGGGCTTGGCCTCCTTATCGCGGCTGAGTGGCCACTCGCTTATAAAGAGAAAGAGAACATCGAGGATTTCCCATCGCAGTGTCCCCCGAGTCGCACGTGGTGCCTGAGATTCCCGACCTGACGCCTCTGGACAGGCAATAAGGGAAGAACAAATTTAAGAGAAAATTTGTTTTGTAGGTTATAAACTTACAAAAAAATACATATTACTTTAATTCATAATTAATAAGTCGTGCGTCAATTACATTAAGCCCATTCACTTCGTCTCCCGAAATCTTTTGTCCCCCACCCCTCCGCCACTGCGTCTTTGTCCACATCGTGTCGCTTGCAATTGTCTGTCGAGCTGCCAAGATGATTCAAGCAACAAGATTGCACAAAATACTTCTCAAGCGACAAGATGTAGCAGCAGCGGTGGCCGTACAATATCATTCTCAGTTGAACACCTCGCAAGACTTTCCCGACCAATATCATCCAGAATAGATGGGGGGGGGGGGTTTGGAGGGGGTTAAATCGCGTAAACACGCGGGGGACACGATCGTGAGAGAGAGAGAGGGGGGGCACATAGAGGCAAGACACCTTGCGTCATATCCACAACTTGTCCCTTAGAAAGTCTTCTCCGCTGTTGCCCCCGGGCAGCCCGCGCCGCCATTTGTGCGTGCGCAGAAAACCACAGCGATGTGCATGCGCTGGGCCGCCATTTTGTGCGGGCGCAGAAAACCACAGCGATGTGCATGCGCTGGGCCGCCATTTTGTGGCGG